GTGGGTCACTGTGTGTGTGTGTCACTGTGTGTGTGTGTGTGTCACTGTGTGTGTGCGACTGTGTGTGTGTCACTGTGTGTGTGTGTCACTGTGTGTGTGTGGGTGTCACTGTGTGTGTGTGTCACTGTGTGTGTGTGTGGTGTCACTGTGTGTGTGTGTGTGTCACTGTGTGTGTGTGGGGGTCACTGTGTGCGGGTCAGTGAGGCTGTCACCGGGAGGGGCTGCAGACACTGGCCGCGTGTAGAGGCCGGTGAGCCTGAGGCCGGTGGCGGACAGGGAGTCCAGGTGGGCGGTGCTGGAGGTCGGATGGCCGAAGCAGCTCAGGTCCCCGTAACCCAAGTCATCAGCGAACAGCAGCACTATGTTGGGGGGAGCGGCGGCCGCCAGAGAGAGCGCAGCGACAGCGACAGCGAGAGCCGCGGCCACGGCCACAGCCACCGCCATCACCACAGGTCCTCCAGCGCCGCCCGACAGGTCCTCCAGCCCCGCCCCCACAGGTCCTCCAGCCCCGCCCCGACAGGTCCTCCAGCCCCGCCCCCACAGGTCCTCCAGCCCCGCCCCCACAGGTCCTCCAGCCCCGCCCCGATAGGTCCTCCAGCCCCGCCCCCAACAGGTCCTCTAGTTCCGAGCCAACAGGTCATCCCGTCCCGCCAGTCACACACGTCCCGTGTCCTCCCGCCCCGCCATACATCATCCAAACCCGCCCCCACCCCACCCCAGCCCGGTCCTCCAGCCCAACCCCCGGTCTGACAGGCTGAGGGTGGGGGATTGAGGGGGTGAGGCTGGGGTGGGGGGGGTTGTGGGGGGGAGGCTGGGGGTGGGGGGGGTTGAGGTGGGGGTTGAGGGGGTGAGGGTGGGGGGGTTGAGGGGGAGGTTGAGGGGGTGAGGCTGAGGGTGGGGGGTTTGAGGGGGGAGGGTGGGGTGGGGGGGGTTGTGGGGGGGGAGGCTGGGGGTGGGGGGGGTGAGGGTGGGGGGGTTGAGGGGTGAGGGTGGGGGGGGTGAGGGGTGAGGGTGGGGGGGTTGAGGGGGAGGGGTGGGGGGGTTGAGGGTGGGGGGTTGAGGGGTGAGGGTGGGGGGGTTGAGGGGGAGGTTGAGGGGGTGAGGCTGAGGGTGGGGGGTTGAGGGGGGAGGGTGGGGGTTTGGGGGGTGAGGGGAGGGGGGTTGAGGGGGAGGTGAGGGTGGGGGGGTTGAGGAGGGAGGGTGGGGGGGGTTGAGGGGGAGGGTGGGGGGGGGGTTGAGAGGGTGGGGGGGGTGAGGGTGGGGGGGTTGGGGGCTGTGGCACGTGGAGAGATTTAAAAATGAAAGGTCGGGCGACAGTGAGAGATGATAAAGTTATTAGAAATTTATTACATTATTATAACAAACATAGAGTCTCTGGTGCGAGGAGTCACAGTAAGAAATTCTCTTCCCTCAGTTTGTGATCTCCTGAAATTATAATTATTACAAAATGGACCTGATCGGCCGTTGCCTTTAGTACAAAGAGGAATAATCTGTGCCCTCGGCTCCCCCCAGCACCCGCACACAGCAACCCCCACCCTCCCTCCCCCCAACACATACAGCGCCCTCCCAGCCCCTATCATCTGCACACAGTGCCCCCCCCCCCCACACAGACCTCCCACCCCCACAGCGCTGTCTCCCCACTCACACACAAATCGTTCTCCCCTCCACACACCTGCACACTCCAGTCTCCGTACACAGCGCTCATCCCCCACACACAGTGTTCTCTCTCCCCCACCCCACCCCCCACAAAGTACTCTTGCCCCCACACAAATAGCGCTTATCCCCACCCCCCATAGAGTGCTCCCCCACACATACAGACAGTGCTCTACCCCCTGAGGACACACAGCTCCTGCAGTACTATAGTTCCTATATAGTGATTGGAGGGGGAGCGGTTTGGTCTCACAGTGATGGTCAGAGGCACAGTGACACTGAGATGTAGAGGTGGGGGTGGGCCGTTGAAGGAGAAGGGGTGAGGCACAGGTTCAATACACAGTGTCACAAGCTGGAGCTGAAAGGGTTAAAGGATAACCAATCGAAGCGTGAGGATCACGAAGGGTTACGACTGGGTAAACAGTGATCGGTTATTTCGGTGGCCAGTGAGTCAGGTTGTGGGGGAGCGAGGGGAGACTGGGGTTAGACCGGGGGGGGGGGGGAACGCCTCCCAACATGAAAGGCGCTTTACAAATGTAATTTTGTTGTTTAACCCCTCTTTCCTCATTCTCCCCAGTCTAACCCCACTCTCCCCTCACTACCCCCATTCTCCCTTCACTCACCCCAGTCTAACCCCACTCTCCCTTCAGTGGTTAGTCAGGCTTCAGAGTAGTTTTAGACCAGGGGTGGTGAGGGGGCGAAGGCAGAGTGGGGTTAGACTCTCCAATTCCTGTAGAAAACATTGTCTCCAGTATTGTTGGGTATCCATTCCACATCCTAATGCACCTGCATTTACCCATCGCCGCCCTTTGTACAGGGTTGCGTGTCAGAACCAGTGATGGGATCGGACACTGGGAGGGGACGGTGGTGGGCCAGGGGAGGGGAGGGTGATGGGCCAGTGGGAAGGGAGGGTGATGGGCCAGTGGGAAGGGAGGGTGATGGGCCAGGGAAGAGGAGGGTGATGGGCCAGTGGGAAGAGGAGGGTGATGGGCCAGTGGGAAGGGAGGGTGATGGGCCAGTGGGAAGGGAGGGTGATGGGCCAGGGGGAGGGGAGGAGGAGTTCGGGAGATGGAGGCTGGGGTCTAACCTCTAGTGACTGACTCAGTGACTAGCGCTGACACCTTCTCCCTCGTCACTTTCTCAAACCCTTGTTGTTGACCTGGTTTCTGAACATTCCCGTTTCCTCGCTCTCTCCTCCCGGGGGAAGCCTCTGGCTCCGGGATTCCCCGCCTGACTCTCTTCGGCCTCGAGGTAACTCTTGTACCTTGTCTCATGGCGCTGGTCCCGGAGGCTCTTGCCGTTTTATTGAGAGCGTGTTGCCCTCGGTGGGGGCGGGCCCTACAGTCCAGCCCGACTCGCCCTCACCTGATACCACCGCCCGGCACAGGTCACCGGGCAGGAGCTCAGGATCAAGACCTGGGGGCTTAACTGTGCCCTCCCTGACCCAGGGGGCGCTGAGACCATGGCCAGCGACCACCCTGCCCGCCCCGGCTGAGATCGGCAAACTCAGCACCGACCGGGGATCGCCACGATCCACCCGGTCTTTATCACTCACTCCGACCAGCTCTTCCATCGCTACCTCAGAGGCACGAAAGCTCATCTTCCTCTTCCTCACTGACTCCCAGCCCAGAGTCCTGTCCACACCACCGACCATCTCCCTCACTGACTCCCAGCCCAGAGTCCTGTCCACACCTGGTTGTGGTCTTGTTTCTTCTTACGTATAATCGACTCCCAGTCCCCTGTTCTACCTATAAATGGTATCATGTCTCGTTCCCTTCTATCGACTCCCGGTCCCCGTTTCCCTAGCTGGAGTTAGCACAATTGTTGCTCTTCATCACAAGCTCACGTCCATCATATCAGATCTCGATCACCAATTCCACCTGTCACCTCTCCCAAGAGAACACTCCCCCAGTCTTACCCCTCTCTGCTCACTCCCCTCCAGTCTAAACCCACTCTCCCTTGCCTCACCCCACTCTCCCTCCGTCTCCCCTTGGGAAGGGGCCTGGTCGAGGGTCTGGGGCGCAGGGGGATGTGTCCATGTGGGTCTCACCAAACCTCACATACTAGAATAAGTCACACTCTGTCCATCAGGTCGTTTCTTTTTGGTGAAGAATTAAATACAAAAAAAACTATTTTCTCTCTCAGCCGAAATGCGGAGCTGTCCCAGCCGAGCGAGGTGCTTGAGTCAGTGTGGGAGAATCCTAGCCCAGGTCAGTGTGGGGCTATCACGGGTCAGTGTGGGGCCTATCACGGGTCAGTGTGGGGCTATCACGGGTCAGTGTGGGGCTATCACGGGTCAGTGTGGGGCTATGACCAGCTCTGACCCGGGTCATTGCTTCATTCCTACTCCTGACCTGTAGACACGCAGGACACTGAGGAGCCCTGTGTCACCTGCGGTTCGTCCCCTTTGCTTGTTGTGGAAGACAATGGGTTAAAATGCTCTAAAGTTTCCCAAACATCACGGTGTCACCCACCCACAGCCCCAACCAACTGCACTCACTGTCACACCTGGTCACAGAGAGAGAGAGCGAGAGAGAGAGACTGCTGGAGGGAGAGATGCAGAGACAGAAAGACACACTGCCAGAGGGAGAGATAGAGAGACGGCCAGAAGGAGATACAAGAGGGAATGTCACTAAAACCAAATAAATGCGTGTCCCATCGGTCCTGTCGCTTTGATGTAATAATATATTTGTAGTTTTAGTAAAATTATAACATAAAAACTTTTTTTTATATTATTTTTGTTCAAATATATAATTGATAAAAAGATGAGAAATTCTGTGACTCGGTGTTAAAACGTCAGCGTCGTTTATCCCCCCCCACCCGAGCTCCCCCCAGCCACCCCTCCCAGCCAGAACCTCAGACCCCACCCGCCCAGCCTGAGCCTCTAGCCGCCTGCAGTGGCGAGCAGTGAACATAGGAACAGGAGGAGGCCATTCAGCCCCTTGAACCTGTTCCGCCATTCTATTAGATCATGGCTGATCTGTACCTCAACTGCAATGACGGGTGAGTGAAAGGTTTCCTATCCCACTTCCCGGCCTGACAGTCAGCCTCAGAGAGAGAGCCTCTCAACACCGCAAGATTGGTTCCGAAGGCAACTGAATTTTGTGGATATAAAATCGGTGTGAGTTTCCTCTCTCCTGTGTGTTTTAAAAATTATAAAAGCAGCCCCTCAGCGCTTCCCATCAGAGACTTTCAGCCCAGCTATCGCTGTCCGCCACCCACACAAGCCATTAAACTCCTCTAAATAGTCATGCAACATTTACCGAAATGGCGAGGTCACTGAGCTCCGAGCTCTCTCTAGCCACCCTCAAGTGCAGTGTAATAAACTCCCCCCCCCCCCAACCCGCCCCAGATTACCCCCTCCCTCCCCCCTCCCCCGGGGTGAGCTAACTCTCCAATAGACGCTTCAGTGCCCGCTCCATGTTCATCCTGTGCCCGACCCGTGTGACTCCCAACTCCACAAAGTCCTCCTTGGTCAAAGCGGGCAGATGGGAGCCCTCAATCTCGTTGTGGAGGAAGCTGTCCCTGTGCTCGGACAGGTTCAGGTTGTCCAGCCAGTCGGCCACATCGTACTTGTTCCACATGGCCACAGGCTTCTGACAGAAGGGTTTAGGGGGCAGCAAGGAATGCATGGGGGCTCCCGAGGGCGAGGGCGAGCGGCTCCGGGCACTGCAGCTGCGCATCACAAAGCGCACTTCCTTGGGCTCGTGGGGGATGTTGAGGCTGGAGGATTTGAGGATGGTGGGGGGTGTCTGGGTGGGGCTGGGCAGGGTGGGGGGCCGGGGGGAGCTGACCAGCTCTGTCCTTGTTTCCAGTGTGGCTTTGCCGGGGCTGGGAGTCCGCCGGCTGACCGGGTGCCTGGTTCCTGGGCGGATGGTGAAGGTCGCCCCGAATGTCCGCTGGGAGATGGTGTTGAGTTCCCCTAAACTACTGAAAAGTCTGTAACAGAGAGAGAGAGAGAGAGAGAGTCTGAGCGTCAGACAGCACTGTGCTGGCAGCTCACACGGCGCCCACTGCACAGATGCCAACATGTTTCTTAAGAAAAGGTGGATTTCAGGCTGACCCCCCTCCCAGCTCCAGTCTGACTCAGATGCCAATGGCGGTGTTTCCTGCTGCTTCACTGGACTCGGTGCTCTGGGAAGCTTCCCTGCGTGAGGCGTTATATAAATACAAGTTGTTGTTTCCTGTGGCTTCACCGGACAATTGGGATGCCAGAACCGGACAAACCCGGCAGGATCCCGGCTTCCAACACATTCAGTGGCCAAATGCTGAGGGCGGGGAAGGAGGGGTCCTCACTGATATCAATCCCTATTAACTCCCTGAAATTCTCTTGTTCTTAACACATTCCATCTACTAATTATCACTTTCCCGGGTGAGGTGTGGGGAGAGTTCCCTCAGGGTTGAGGTATCAGGAGAATTCCCCTCCAGGGTAGTGGTGTGGGGGGAGAGTCACTCATATGGGGCATCAGAGTCCCAGTCCTGCCGCCCCCCACCCTCCAGTCTGAGCTCTTACATCACCACCGTCCCAGGAGCTTAAAGTAACGTTTGTTGAGATCATTTCACCCCCTTCACTCAGTACAACGCAAAGTTCCCAGGTCTGTGCCCTGTGTCACTGACGGTCTCTCCTGGTGTTGCTCACTGCTCTAATCCCACCCCTCTTCTCTCCCCGGATCCTCCTGTATTCCCTTGCCATGATGGAATGGCTTTCGGGAGGCATGGGTGTTGAAAGCTCGATCACATCCCCCGATCTTCTCCACGCTGGGAAACCTTGGACTGTCTCCCCAGCCTGTGTGTCTCCATAGCCCCTCTCAATGTCCTGTTCCTGTCTCTAATGGGATGCTCTGACCTGGACACAACTCCAATAAGACCCTGGTCTCCAGGATTAGGAGGTGATGGATTAATGATTCTTTGACTGGTGGAAGCAGGCAGTAATTAACGCTCCACTTCCTGCTTGTTTATCTTATTAAATACTTTGTTTTATACCCACAATTTACAGAGCGTCTGGGAGACAGACACAATGTGCACCTCTGCCTGGCTGACAGGTCATTTTCTCCATGAGTTGAATATGGTACAGGTCTGTGGGACATTCTTAATCCTGCCCTAACAAAAAATAGTCTGTTTTAGAATCAGACACCTGATGTCTGCAGAAATCCAGAACATGGACAATATCTCCGCAGTAATGCTAACTGGGTCAGATGCTCAGGGCCTGTCCCTCTCTCCCTCGCCAGCTCACCCTGAGGGCAATGGCAGCCAACAGGACACTGACCGCTCAGACAGATCCAGTGACATCTGTGGACGTGTCCAGGTCACAGTACAGCAAGCAATGTGATGGATTAATGGCTTAATGCAATCGGTGTGAGCTAATGCAATGTCCCAACACAGCACAAACTCACAGTGAATCACACAGGCAAGAGGCAGCCCTCTCTCCTCGGCCAATCACATCACTGCCTCCACCACACGCGGGTCTAATCAATCAATTGTCAAACTATTGATTCTTCACACTGACGGTTTGTGGTCAATAACGTGAGGAATGGATGCTTCCTGACCCACTGTCCATCCACACTCCCAGGTCAGTGACAGAACGGCTAGAAACACAGTAAAGCCCCTCTTCGTGAAGTCCTGTAGCTCAGTGGTTAGAGCACTCGCTTTGCGAGTGAGAGACCTGAGTTCAATTCCAGGCAGAGGGCGAAACCTTGGGCAAGTTTCCTTACCCCACACAGAGCCTAATAATAATCCTCCAAAACCAAAAACAATAATAAATTGGTCATTTTCAATCTACGACTGTTTGTGGGACATTGCTGTGCGCAATTGGCTGCCGCGTTCGCCCACAAATATACAGTCAATTCACTTTACAGTGTGTTCTGTGAAGCGCTTTGGGACGTCCTCCCGACGTGAAAAGCGCTATATCAAATGCAAGGATTATCATTATTATTATTATTCACTGTGCGTCCACACTCCCAGGTCAAGGTTAGAGACACATTTGGTTCACACTGTTGTAATGGTGTCACCCACCTTTGACTACTCTCAAGCTAGTGCATCATCTCCATTCCTCTCTCACCTCACCCTGTGTGAGCCCCCTTCATCCGGAGACAGTGGGAACAGTCATTGAAGCCATCCTCTGTGTGAACAGGGCTCCCTGCCCTCAGCCTCTCCCTGATGTACCTCTGGCTCTGCACACTCCTGGTACCTCTCCTACCTGTCCCATTGTCCTCTCCCGGCCTCTCCTCTTGGTAAGGTGTGACATTCCCAGTACTCTCTCTGGGTCACATGTCCCATCCTAGGGCTCTCTCCCTTGTCCTTTCTTCATCTACACGCTCTCCTTGGTGACATCATCTGCAGACATGAAGCCATTTTTTTTATGTTCCTGGATGGCACCCAACTCCATTTCTCTGCGTCTCTTCGCTGCAGCATCACGGCTGTCCTGACTGATACCCGTCAGTCATCAGGTCCTGGAAGGGCCGTAGCTTTCAGCTCAATGTTAACAAACCTGAGATTCCTGGCAGCGTCTCCTCCCCTCAGGCTCTGACGGATCCCCCTCCCTGCTCACTCGCTCCAGCTCAGTGCCTGTGGGCAATCTCAGTGATTTGTTACACCCTCACCTCTCCTTCACATCTTCCACCCGATGACTGGCCAAACGCTTCTCTCCATCGCCATCACATCTTCATCAGCACCTTGCCCTCAACACAGCCCAAACCCTCCTCTATGCGTGTGACACATCCGCTTCCCCATCAGACTCCTTGCGGGGTTACCCAGCTCCCCCTCTCCAGAGAATCCAGACCCCCACAGCCTGTGTCCCATCCCCCCGCCCCATCTTCCACAAGTCCTGTCACTGACCTGGGAGTGTGGATGCACAGCGTAGAGAGAGCTTTACTGTGTCTAACCCTGACCTGGGAGTGTGGACGCACAGTATAGAGAGAATTAAATGTGGTGAAGACACAGCAGGCTGCAGGAGCCTGTTGTTTTCCCAATCCCATTTTGCAGGTTCTTCCAGATTCCTATCAATTGACTCTGATCTTGTGAAGGTGTCCGAGGGGAGGTTGGGAAGAATTCCCGCAGTTTAGCTGTCATGAAGGCAACGTTCCCAAGGCTGAGTTCAGTCAGAATTTGGGGGCGGGGGATGGGGGGGTGGAATAGGGGGAGGTCAAAAGCAGCAGTTGATTGGCCCTGTGGAGGACAACCCTGTGGTTTGGAGGAAGCTAAAAAATATATATGTAACATGCACAGCACACACACAGCACACGCACACGCAAACAAGCCTGAGTGTGAGCATGCAGCAGAAGCCTTGGCGTGCCTGAGGAGAGCTGGGGGGAGAGAGGGAAGGCAGGGGAATGGGGTGAATGAGTGTGAGCACTTACACAGTTTGCTCACCGTCCTGTTTGACGCCGGATGCAGTTCGAGACAGAGCAGCACACGCATGCACAGTGATCGGAAAAAAAAGAGGCAATGAGAGAGATGTTAGCATCAATCCATGGATGTGAGCAGACATTTCCACTACACGCACCAAACAGTAACTCCTGACACACACTCGCTAACTGTCCATCTCCATGTTCTCACCCATTACTCCATCTCCTCACCCATTACCCCATCTCTTCACCCATTACCTCATCTCCTCACCCATTACTCCATCTCCTCACCCATTACCTCATCTCCTTACCCATTACTCCATCTCCTCACCCATTACCTCATCTCTTCACCCATTACCTCATCTCCTCACCCATTACCCCATCTCCTCACCCATTACCTCATCTCTTCACCCATTACCCCATCTCCCATTACCCCACCTCCTCACCCATTACCCCATCTCCTCACCCATTACCTCATCTCCTCACCCATTGCCCCATCTCCTCACCCATTATCCCACATCCTCACCCATTACCCCATCTCCTCACCCAGCATCCCATCTCCCCTCACTCCCTGCTCCTGCTCCTGATCTCCTGCCCATGTGAGGGCAGTCCACAGTGAGTTGGGACAGTATGTACAGTTATACTCTTGGCGATTATTATTCATTATTTAGAAGCAAATCAAAGTGTTTATAAATTCTCTTTTACATAAATATTCTACAGAAATGGGATTAAATTGCTAAATCTAACAAGTTTGTTCTGAATGACAGTGGTAATTACACAAACAGGAGGCACTCCACCCAGCCCGGCTGTTACTGTAACACTGTTAATGCGGGGCTGAGATCAGCCACTCAGCACTGGGCAGAGGTTTGAACCTGGGACCTTCCCCTCTGGGTGCCCTGGCTAACAATCTGCCAGATAAATCTCTTGTTCATCTCGTGGCTGTTTGTGAGCCCTTTCTGTGCGCACAGTCACTACACTGCCTGTACTGGAATTTCCTGTGGTCTTGGTACTGTATCAAACACAAGCGTTGTGAGCTAACAGCTCCTCTCCCCACTCGCTCGGCCCCCACAGGCCCAGTGCAGCTCCAACCCTCACTTCTTGCCCTGTCACTGGAGGAGAGCCCCGCACACACCACTGTGTATGGAAAGGATTAAGAGGTTACACTGCAGTGAGGGCCACAGCGTGAGGTGTCAGAGCCCGTGCCGAGGGCAGGCGGCAGCAGGACGGCACATACCAATTACCGGGAGATGGCAAGCGTTACCCTGTGTCTATAGCAGAGCCATACCCAAATGACAGCCAGCAACGGAGGTCATTAATGACAGAGGGAGAGGTATATACACACTCACAGAGAAACACATTCAGAGGAAGAGTGAGAGATATACTGACACACACAGAAAGAGATTGAGAAAGAGAGAACAGTAAGAGACAGAGAGAAAGATAGATACATAGAAAGTCAGAGAAATTGAAAGGAAGACTGACCGAGAGAGACAGAAAGACAAAGAGAGAGAGAGCAATCAAGAAGGACAGAGAGAGAGATGAATAGAGCGAGACAGATGATAGTAGAAAGCGAGGAAGATAAAGAGACAGGGAAATAAAGAGATAGAAGAGTAGAAAGCTTATTGTTTGATCAGCTGAGTGTCTGACACGCATAAACCCATCATGATTCTGTCTCCAAACCAGACTAAGAGTTCCACATATGCCTGCCACTTACAAGTGGAAATCTCAATGTGTTAGGAATGGAATGCGCACTGCACTCTCTCTCTGGAGGAACACATCCGACTTTAGAGTCAAGGCTTGGGGACCCATAGCCCCAGGGTGTGTGGAAGGGTTAACAGCTGGAGCTAACCCTGGCAGAATTGGGTTTGCTCGCTCAGATACAGGGTAACGGTCACGGTAAACACAGGGAGGTTATGGTGCCCGGTGTGCGAGTCAGTGGGTGAGAAGCTGAGTGGGCTCGTGCTAAGTGAGTTAGTGTGTGACCCGCGGCACAGAGGTATAAAACAAGGGGCGTTACCCTAGAGTACAAACACTAAGGGACGCAGTCTCCGCTCTGACATTCAGATCTGTAGGAAGACAAAGGTTGAAGGCAGTTTCCAGCCACTGATTGATACAGACGACAAACAAACAGCGACGAGACACAGTAATGTGTGATGCTGGGTATTGCTGTGCTGTGCGGAGCCACCCACACCCAGCCGTGACTGTACATTGGTTTATGTGAGCAGTGAAGGATGGGTCACATTGACAGCAGCCAGGCTGATCCTTGACTTTAAAAACCTGAGTCCCAACCATTAGAGACACGTAAATGTACAGCTCTCTCTCCATCTCCTGACAGTCTGCTGCCCCAGCATAGCCGGTCAGACTGATCACTGGCAGGTCAGCAATGACCCACCTCAACAATATCACAGGGTATCAGATAACCAACTTATCCCAGGAGGTGAGATAATAATAATAATCCTTAGATTTGATATAGTGCCTTACCACGTGCTCCGGCCTCACCACATGCTCCGGCCTCCTGCTTGTCATTCATGCTCTCAGTTGCACCATTGGTGGCTGCGCTTTCAGCCACTATGCCCCGAGACTCTGGAACCCTCTGCCTTGCCCCCTCCTTCCCCATCTTGAGGTTGCACTTGAAACCTTCCTCTTCGATTGTGCTGACGGTCACCTCCCCCCTCCCCCCGGCTCGGCATCAAGCGCTCTGGGCTATTACTCTGCGTGAGGTGAGCTGTGTAAGTGCAAGTTGGTGTTGAGATGTCTCAAACAAATAACCACTTTATCACAGGCTGTGAGATAATCCCCAAGTTTATCACACGCGGTGTGGTAACCATCTGAATGCTGCGTGCTGATCCCAACCACCAACTTGGGTGTGGATCCCTGTCTGTCCAGCGCCTTGGGAAGTGCTCCTGACGTGAAAGTGTCATTTGTTATTGTTGTTGAATGGTGGAGTGACTGGCCTCACCCTGTTGTGCCGCGGACGTACTCTCCGTCTTACTCATCTTCAGTTGAGAAACGAGCAGAAGACGGCCAGCACCTACTGAGCCCACACAACAATGAGAACCCCCCCCCCCACCGCCCCCCAACACAGGTCACCGTCAGATTCTCAGCCCCTCAATGCTGTGTTACTGGCCATCTGCTGCTCTGTCCTTTACCCTCTCTGTTGGTGGAGCCTCAGACACTCAATTATGTGGAAATGTTCTGTGCCCTCGCACTCACTGCCCAGCAGGTTACACTTCACAACATTCCCAGACTCGGACATCCTCCAGAGGCTCCTCTTGTCCACTGCCAGGGTGTGCAGTGTGAGTTCATTGGGACCCAGACATGCACTGCTGACAGCACGCTCAACACAGAGCCAATCTTCACGTCCATACTGTCCCCTGTGGATGTTAGCTCGCACTGGGCCATATCCTCACTTCAGTGTCCAGGTTTCAGGTGGGTGTAATGGAGCTGGAATGCCCCATACTGTCATCGCCAATAGGAGCTTTGTGATCATACTGATATAGGCATTCAGTGAATTGGGTCGTGTCTGCTAGACACACAGAATTGTGTCCCATACTGGTCTTAACTACAGTCTATGGCTACTCACCTGACTCAGCAATAGTGCTTTAAATGTTGTCTAATGTGGCAATGTGGCTACATACAGCACTGTGTGCTGCCCATTTATAGACAGGCGGCAAATACCTGCTCGCTCCCCACTGGAGCTCTCTACTCTAACCCCATTCCCTGCTCTCTCTCTCTCTCCCCATCGTGTCTGTGCCTTCAGCTCCCCTCTCGACTCTCTTCCCCCTCCTCGCTCCCTCCCTTCCCTCCCCTCACCCTGACCATTTCCCCCCTCCTCGCTCCCTCCCTTCCCTCCCCTCCCCTGACCATTTCCCCCTGCTCGGGTCATGACCCAACTGTGCAGCGCCTTGGGACGTCCTCCTGACGTGAAAGGCGCTTTATAAATGGAATCTTGTTGTTGTTGTTGTTGTGCTGGGGCTCGCTCCCCACTGGAGCTCTCTACTCTAACCCATTCCCTGCTTTCTCCCCATCGTGTCTGTGTTGGTGCTCGCTCCCCCACTGGGCCTCTGATCTCTGTTGTTAGGAGATAATTTGTGATATGGAGGAGGACTGTCTTGGCTTTGACCGGCAGATAGCGGTGTGCAGGTTAACATCTCACCAAGCTATGAGTGATGCAAGCTTTATTTTGCTTGCAAACTGCTCTGAGACAACATCAGTGTGCTGCGCAGGTTTACACAGTGGCCTGTGTCAGGGGAAGAAGTGCTTGCTGGTGGCAACTGTTGTGTTGGGGGAGCTTGTCAGCACATCAGGTTATGTGAGTGTAAATAATTAAAGTCTTGCCTGCAGGTGCAGTTTGGATCTTGTTATTTGCCACATCTTCAGTGTGCTCCAGAGGCATGATTCCAGGGAAAAGAGGAAATCAGTTTATATAGGAATAACCTGCTGCCTGCTGACAGCCTGGGCCACAATTAGTTATCAGAGGGAAAATACTACTTTAAGCTATTTCATTATTAACTGGGTATTGTTCCTGGGATAGTTAAGTGCAGGTTAGACAATGTTTTTTCCACACTGAGCGTCACTAGCACATGAAGCATTTTCACAAAAAAAACGCTGAGGCTGAGAACAGAACATTTAAAAGGGACGTGACTAAGGATATAAAAGGGAACTGGGAGAGAGCAGGGATTGGGGTTAGAGTAGAGAGCTCCAGTGGGGGAGCGAGCCCCAGCACAGCATGACGGGGAGAGAGAGCAGGGAATAGGATTAGAGTAGAGAGCTCCAGTGGGAATTTCCAGCACAGATTGAGATGTACAGATTTCCATCTCATTATCAACGTTATTCTGAATAACATTGCTCCCAGATGCTATCCAGCCTGTCGTCCGCTATATACATGCAAGTTGTTGTTATTGTGTATCACAGACCTCTCATCCAAACATGGGGAACTTCCTATTTATAGGTGACATACATATGTGGAACTCTCAGTCTGGTTTGGAGACTGTTAAACATGGTGATGGGTTTCTGTGTGTGTTAAGACACTCGACTGATCACAGTGATGGGTTTCTGCTTGTGTCAGTCACCCACTAGTATATAACCCAGTATTACCATGTCTACAGAGCTCTCCTCACATGCTGCACACCTCCAGTGAGTGAATGCAGTCTGACCTCTGACTCTGCTACCCCAGCTCAAGGGATTGACAGTGGTATTGGAGACCTTGTGGCTTGAGAGGAAATTGAGAGTGTCTGAGAGTGGAGGGATGTGCCTGGCGTGTGCTGCCCTCGGCTGCCTGCAGACCCGCTGCTCCTTCTGGAGATGTTTAATGTGAGATGGGAGCAGGAGAGACCTGACCTGCCCTGTGCTCGCTCGGCTCTTGTGGAGAGACAACTCCAAGTCCTGAGGCCTAGAAATCCCCCCGCTCTCAGGACAGTGCACTGCAACCAAGAGTCTTGTTTTGGAGGTACTCGAGCGAGAGGCTGGGTTTGGGGGTGCAGAGTGAGAGGCTGAGTTTGGGGGTACCCGAGTGAGAGGCTGGGTTTGGGGGTACCCGAGTGAGAGGCTGGGTTTGGGGGTACCCGAGTGAGAGGCTGGGTTTGGGGGTACCCGAGTGAGAGGCTGGGTTTGGGGGTACCCGAGTGAGAGGCTGGGTTTGGGGGTACAGACTGAGAGGCTGGGTTTGGGGGTACAGACTGAGAGGCTGGGTTTGGGGGTATAGAGCGAGAGGCTGGGTTTGGGGGTACAGAGTGAGAGGCTGGGTTTGGGGGTACAGAGTGAGAGGCTGGGTTTGGGGGTACAGAGTGAGAGGCTGGGTTTGGGGTTACAGAGTGAGAGGCTGGGTTTGGGGGTACAGAGTGAGAGGTTGGGTTTGGGGGTATTCAGACAGGCCTGAGTTTTGGGGTATGCAGAGTGAGAGACCAACTTTGGGGGTGCAGAGTGAGTGACCTGGGTTGGGGTACGGCTAAACCACCTTACCGTGATGTGACCACCGGTGACTTCCTTCCTGTATCTAGTGTAGTCCCGATGGGCTCGTCCCCGAGTGAGTGAGTGTCCTTGGATAACTGCTGAAGCCTGGAGCTCAGCTCGCTGATTACAGTACGTTTGCTGCCCTCGGCCATCTGAGGGGGCCGCGGCTCGATGGGATCTCCCCATAGCTTGGACTTTCTCTGCATGAGGTAGCGAGACCGCCCGACGCCGGGGAGCAGCGCGGACGTGTGATGTTGGGCAACAAGCTCACTGTCTGAGGTCTGCTTCAAGAGAGGGTCCCTGAATGTGACTGCTCCTCTGTTGAGTTGGGACTTCAACTTTGGTTTTGGAGGCACTGGAGGCTTCTCGAGGATAAAGGTCTGTCCGTCGGCGAAGGAGGTGTAGGTGTCGAGGGGCTCTCCGCTCTCCGAGGACAGCGTAGACATGCTGGAGACTGTGGACACGGTGCTTGTGGTCTCCAGGTGGTGGTCGCTGCAGCTTCGGGTCTCGATCTCCTCCACACCCGAGTCCACGTTGGCTTCGGTGGTCTCGGAGCCTGGGGCGGGCGGTGGCTTCCCTGAGGGGGGCATTGCAGTGGCGGAGGGGGTTAGAGTGCGAGGTCCAGCACAGGGGGCAGCACTGAGCACAGCCAGCACAGGGCAGAACAGGCCATTGGCAAACTCATTGGGAGGTGGCACCACTCCTATTTTGGCCAGTTCCTCCCGGGTCTCTTCATCGCTGGAGGAGAGAGGCGGAGGCAGCGAGACATTGTACGGCTCCACGTCCTCATCAGAGCTGCCCTGGGCTTGTGTCTTTGTGGGCACTGGGGGAGTGGGGGGCTCGGACACAGTGGCTGGTGATGGGGACGTTTGGTTGTCGGCTGCGAGCAGCTGAGGCGATGGTGGTGATGGCTTCAAGGCGCTCACAGGCGCTGGCGCAATGTCTTGAAGTTCTGCCTGTTGGCCATTACTGGTGGCGTGGACCATGACCAGCCCTGCTGTTTTCTGCTGTGAAGTGTCCACGATGTTAATGAGCAAACTCTTCCTATCTTCCACCTTCTTCTCCTCTCTCTGAAGCTTCTCGGCCTCTCTCCTCAGGGTGCTTACAGCTGCTCTCTGGTGCTTGGTGCCGGCCGGCCCGGTGATCAGGCTGTAGCCACTTTGTCCCTCTGGTGAGAAGGGGGGTGAGGTGAGCCCCCCTGCCTCTGGCCTCTTGGCCTCTTTGCCCTGTAGCTCAGTGAAGAGGGGGGTGGTCCTGTCTAGGGACCTGAGGGCTTCGCTGCCCTCGCCCACCAGCTGTTGTTTAGTCTCAGCCACCAGCGCCTGCTGCCTCGCGGCCAGCGCAAGTGCCAGGGGTGAGTTGGGGTCCAGGGGTTTGCCGGTCAGCGGGTGGATGAAGGTGATGGGGATGCTCTGGGGCGGCCGAAGCGAGGGGATGGGCGAGCGTGAGCCCTCGCTGCTGCTCAGGAGCCTCTCGTCCACCGAGCGGGACTGCTGCAGGGCTGGCGTGCTGGGTGGTGCTGTGCTCTCGATGGCGCCCACCGAGAGGAAGATGGTGGATTTCCTCTTCTCCTCCAGTCTTTTCTCCCGGTCTCGCACAGCGCCAGCGATGGCGTCCGCGAAGGGGCTGCCCGCAGCCTGCTCCTCCTCCAGCAGCCTCCTGGCCTCCTCTCTCTGCAACAGCTCATACTCCTTGCCGGTGTACTGCGCGATCCACTTGGCGCTCGCCAGCAGTGATTCCTTGGCACTGGCGCTGGCGGAGATGGTTGATGCTCTCTCCACAGCGTCCTCCACCTTGACCTGCTTGACCAGGGGGCTCTTCTTACGCAGTGGCTTTGCTGGGGCGAAGAGGCCAACGCTGAACTGGCCGACGTTGGCGTAGGGGTTATCTACAATCTTGGCTTTCCTTTTGCTCTTCTCCTGAGGGGTGGGGGAGGGGCTGGGCCGGGGGATGTCCGCAGCCTCCACAGGGTAATAGGAGGAGTCCTGGAGAATGATCATGGAGCGAGCTCTCCTCTGCCTCTCCACCGGGGCCAGAGTGGTCTTGGCCGGTTCGTACACCTCTGCCGTGCTGACCAGCGCCTGAGCCCCGTGGACCTTGGCCTCTGTGTTGGGTTTAAAGCTGGATCGCACGTTGTCGTATGACCGTCCTGGGGGGGGTGGCGGGGAGAACGGAGGTGGGGGTCCCGTGTCCAGCAGGTAGGTGGAGGGTGGTGGCGGGGGGGCTATCTGGGGAGGAGGGGGAATCCCCAGCCCCTCTCGCAGGGTATCCTGCATTGATGAGCTGCGCAGGAAACGCCCCTCAGCTGCAGCTACCGACAGTCTATCATCCTCAGAGGCACCTACAGGGCAGAGGGGAGACGATGTGAGGCAGTGAGGGTGTGTGAGAGGGACAGTGTGAGAGTGGGTGTGAGAGAAGTTGTGTGAGAGTGTGAGAGTGGATGTGAGAGAGGGTGTGTGAAACAGTGTGAGTGGGTGTGAAAAAGGGTGTGTGAAAAAGTGTGAGAGTGGATGTGAAACAGTGAGAGAGACAATGTGTGTGAGAGATGATGTGCGAGACAGTGAGAGTGGGTGTGAGAGACAGTTTTAGAGACAATGAGAGAGATAGTGTGAGAATGGGTGTGAGAGAAGGTGTTCGAAGCAGCAATATATTCTGCGAAGTGCTTTGAGACGTCTCAATCACGTGATTAAGCGCTATATCAAATGCAAGTATTATTAAGGATTATTATATTGTCATCAGCAGTGTCTTGGAGAGAGACTGAGGCCTGACACAGGGGCCACACAGCCTCCACTGGGCTCACCTATGGATTTTGTCCGGGACATTACTTTAGGAACTGGGATGTGTGGTTTCTCTGGGATAGTTGGTGATGTTGATTTTGAAGCCATTCCCTGGCGCTCGAACAGTGACTGAAATCAGAACAAGAGACCAATAAGGAAAAACAGCCCTCACACTGTCAGAGCATGAGGATCCACAACACAGAGAGAGTCAGCAACACAGAGAGAGTCAGCAACACAGAGAGAGAGAGTCAGCAATACAGAGAGTCAGCAACACAGAGAGAGAGTCAGCAACACAGAGAGAGTCAGCAACACAGAGAGAGAGTCAGCGACACAGAGAGAGTCAGCGACACAGAGAGAGTCAGCAACACAGAGAGAGAGTCAGCAACACAGAGAGAGTCAGCAACACAGAGAGAGTCAGCAACACAGAGAGAGTCAGCAACACAGAGAGAGTCAGCAACACAGAGAGAGAGTCAGCAACACAGAGAGAGAGAGTCAGCAACACAGAGAGAGTCAGCAACACAGAGAGTCAGCAACACAGAGAGAGAGAGTCAGCAACACAGAGAGAGAGTCAGCAACACAGAGAGAGAGAGTCAGCAACACAGAGAGAGAGAGTCAGCAACACAGAGAGTCAGCAACACAGAGAGAGAGAGTCAGCAACACAGAGAGAGAGTCAGCAACACAGAGAGAGAGTCAGCAACAGAGTGAGAGAGAGAAAGAGAGAGTCTGCAACACAACTGCCTGTATCTGTGCCTGTGCCTGACTGTGACTGTGTCTGACTGTTTGCCTGTTCCCGTGTCTGTCTGTGCCTACCTGTGACTGTCTGTCTGTGCCTACCTGTGACTGTCTGTCTGTGCCTACCTGTGACTGTCTGTCTGTGTTTGCCTGTGACTGTCTGTCGGTGTTTGCCTGTGACTGTGCCTGTCGGTGTTTGCCTGTGACTCTGTCTGTCTGTGGTCGCCTGTGACTGTGTTTGTCGGTGTTTGCCTGTGACTGTGTGTGATATGAAGTCGGCTCACGCTAATCTCGGCTGAGGTGATGCGCCTGCTGGTGGGTCGCTGTTTGACGGTCGCTGCTCGTGAATCGGCTGCCACGTTCTCCGGCCTGGCCGAGCGATCGGCCGCCGCCAGGATCTCATCCAGCTTTTCTGAAAGAGACGCAGAGAGAGAGAATGACATCAGAGACAGCAAGATAGCACCTCAGATATTACTTTAGACAGGAGTAGACCATTGACCCATCCAACTTCCTACAGATTTCATTACAGAGGACGGCCATTCAGTGCGGGTGCTGCTGCACTCCCCCCCCCCCCCCACACACATACACACACACACTCCCTGCACACTGTTCCTTTTTACATCTCCATCTCGCTCTCACTTCAAAGCTAATCCGGATCCTGCCTGGACCGCGGCCCCCGGCTGACATCCCACATGCTAACGGCTCTGTGTGCGGAAACCTTCCTCCTAACCTCGCCCTTCACTCACTAGCTCACACTGACGGCCTCTGTCACTATCTCACACTGACAGCCATCGACTCAATCAAACCTCCCCTTTCACAACCCCCATCAGCTCTTCCCTCAGCTTTCTCTGTCCCACTGACAACACTAACAACTGGTTGTTTCCTCCAGTCTCTGCTCGTGGGTCTCCCCCATCCCTGGTCTCATCCAGTAAATCTCCTGCAGCCTCTCTACGGCCTGCGTCCTTCCTACATTGAATGGCCAGGACTGAGCACAATCCTCTCACCGTGGACTAAGTAACGATTTATACAGTGAGTGTGATCACCTCCTAGTTTATATTCAGTGTCACTTGTTATAAACCTAGGGTCCCACCACCTGCCTTCACAGCCGTGCCCACCTGCCCTCCCAGCTTTATGAAGTTATGTACGGTGACCCAGGTCTGCTACTCTTCTCTTAATCTTTCCCCCTTTAGTGTACACTTCCTCTCCTTATTCCTCCCTGTAACCTCACACTTTTCTGTATTGGATTTAATCTGCCGTCTCTCTGCCCAATCTACTAGGCCATATCAACCTATCCGCTCCCTCCGCTCAGCAGGCTCCGGGCTGCTCTACATCCCCCGCCCGGCCCACTCCACCATTGGCGATCTGTCCTTCAGCCCCACATTTTGCAACTCCATCCCAGTCCCTTGCCTCCTTCAACGCTTGTCTCGAGACCCTCCTCTTCGACAGCGCCTTCGGCTATCCTCCTACATCTACCCTCCCTTAACCCTAATCCTCCCCCATCTTGGGTCCAAATCCCTGACTGTCCCAGCCTTGGGATGTCCTGCGACGTGAAAGGCTGTGTGTAAATGTAATTTGTTGTTGTTGTCTTCACTGTTAGCTACAAACTTAAAAATTGTGTCGCTTATTCCAGACTCCACATCATTTATAAACAGTCAATGGAGGAAAGCAGCGGTCCTAACACTGCCCCCTGGGACAACACTATTTACATGTCTCCATTGTGAATAAACTCCCTCTCATCTCTCACCCCCTATTCTTTCCCCTATTCTCTGCCTACGCTGATACCTGGCCATTAATACTCTACACCTTCATTTTGCTAACGAGCCTCTAATGTGCCATATTATCAAAAGCTTCCTGAAACTCCACCCCAGTGATAGCTTTTTCTATTCTCTCACTGATTTCATCAAAGAACTTGATTCAATTTGTCAAACCAGCCCCTACTGCCACCAGCGTTCATGCCCTAGCACTTCCCTACCTCTCCGACCTCCTTACTCCCCAACCCACTACTTGCTGCCTCCGCTCGACTGGCTCCAGCCTTCTGCATGTCCCTCGTACCCTTCATTCCACCATCGGCCATTTCAGCCATTACACCCCAAAAACTCTGGAACACTCTTCCTCTATCCCTCCTCCCTGCCCCTTCCTTCCTCAGTTTCAGGTTGTGCTCGAAGACCTTCCTCCTTGACCGTGCCTATGGTCACCTCCCCCTGGCTTGGCGTTGTGCTCCACCACAGTCAAGCGCTCAGGGAACTAGCCTATGTATAATTGTGGATTTTAAGGATCCCTTGGCACTAAACCAGTGGTTTGTGAAGAGGCCGCCTCCTGATTTATGATTTTGTAAACAGCAAAAAGATCTCTGCTTCTCAACACTTGCAGGTCTCCAGGCTCAGCTGGGACGTCCAGAGCAGAGTGGGAGGAGATGTGCCGAATGGTCCAACCCCAGCACAGACACTCAGCAATACATACCAGTTTTTCTCCTCCGTACAGAGGCTTGGAAAGAAAAGAATGAGAGAGTAAATTGGAACATTAGGACACAGTGATGGAGGGAGAGAGACAGGCCCTCGCCAAGCACATCAACACACACAGACAGGTACACAAACAAATCACAAATGTGGTGCAAATCCCTTGCCTACTTCTCCAACCTGCTTATACCCCACTCCACTGGCTGCCGCCTTTGCCTCAATCGGCTCTGGCCTCCTGCTTGTCACACATCCCCTCCATTCCACTACTCCACAAACCATGGAACTCTGCCTCAATCTCCCCGTCTTGCTTCCTCCTCATCTTCAGATCACACCTGAAGGCCTTCCTCTTCGACTGAGCACGGTCACCTACCCCCCAACCCCCCCACCCCCAACGGCTTTACATAAAGTCAAGCGACGCTACTATTAAGTGCTCTGAGATGCTGTATAAATGCAAGTTGTTGTTATTGTAGATAGCTACTGGGACTCAGTAGCGCTGAGTCCACCTGGGAATGTCAGCGCTGGACGGTGAGGGAGAGGGAATGTCACACAAACGCCAGCCTCTCGGGAGATTCCTCAGTTAAGAAATGCTATTGGTGATGGGTGTGTGTGTGTGTGTGTGTGACAATGAACTAGTGTATTGGCGTGTGTGGGTGTGTGTGTGTGTGTATGTGACAGTGAGCTAGTGTATGGGCATGTGTGTGTGTGAGACAGTGAGCTAGTGTATGGGTGTGTGTGAGACAGTGAGCTAGTGTATGGGCATGTGTGTGTGTGACAGTGAGCTAGTGTATGGGTGTGTGTGAGACAGTGAGCTAGTGTATGGGCATGTGTGTGTGTGAGACAGTGAGCTAGTGTATGGGTGTGTGTGAGACAGTGAGCTAGTGTATGGGCATGTGTGTGTGTGACAGTGAGCTAGTGTATGGGTGTGTGTGAGACAGTGAGCTAGTGTATGGGCATGTGTGTGTGTGAGACAGTGAGCTAGTGTATGGGTGTGTGTATGTGACAGTGAGCTAGTGTATGGGCATGTGTGTGTGTGAGACAGTGAGCTAGTGTATGGGTGTGTGTATGTGACAGTGAGCTAGTGTATGGGCATGTGTGTGTGTGACAGTGAGCTAGTGTATGGGTGTGTGTGAGACAGTGAGCTAGTGTATGGGTGTGTGTGACAGTGAGCTAGTGTATGGGTGTGTGTGAGACAGTGAGCTAGTGTATGGGTGTGTGTGACAGTGAGCTAGTGTATGGGTGTGTGTGAGACAGTGAGCTAGTGTATGAGTGTGTGTGTGTGACAGTGAGCTAGTGTATGGGTGTGTGTGAGACAGTGAGCTAGTGTATGGGTGTGTGTGACAGTGAGCTAGTGTATGGGTGTGTGTGAGACAGTGAGCTAGTGTATGGGTGTGTGTGACAGTGAGCTAGTGTATGGGTGTGTGTGAGACAGTGAGCTAGTGTATGAGTGTGTGTGTGTGACAGTGAGCTAGTGTATGAGTGTGTGTGTGTGTGACAGTGAGCTAGTGTATGAGTGTGTGTGTGTGTGTGTGTGTGTGAGACAGTGAGCTAGTGTATGAGTGTGTGTGTATGGGTGTGTGTGACAGTGAGCTAGTGTATGGGTGTGTGTGAGACAGTGAGCTAGTGTATGGGTGTGTGTGACAGTGAGCTAGTGTATGGGTGTGTGTGACAGTGAGCTAGTGTATGGGTGTGTGCGACAGTGAGCTAGTGTATGGGTGTGTGTGTGACAGTGAGCTAGTGTATGGGTGTGTGTGTGTGTGTGTGTGTGTGTGACAGTGAGCTAGTGTATGGGTGTCTGTGTGCGTGTGTGTGTGTCTGTGTGTGTGTGACAGTGAGCTAGTGTATGGGTGTGTGTGTGTGTGTGTGTGTGACAGTGAGCTAGTGTATGGGTGTGTGTGTGTGACAGTGAGCTAGTGTATGGGTGTGTGTGTGTGACAGTGAGCTAGTGTATGGGTGTGTGTGTGTGACAGTGAGCTAGTGTATGGGTGTGTGTGACAGTGAGCTCGTGTATGGGTGTGTGTGTGACAGTGAGCTAGTGTATGGGTGTGTGTGACAGTGAGCTTGTGTATGGGTGTGTGTGTGTGTGTGTGTGAGACAGTGAGCTCGTGTATGGGTGTCTGTGTGTGTGTGTGTGTGTGTGTGACAGTGAGCTAGTGTATGGGTGTGTGTGTGTGACAGTGAGCTAATGTATGGGTGTGTGTGTGTGACAGTGAGCTAGTGTATGGGTGTGTGTGTGTGACAGTGAGCTAGTGTATGGGTGTGTGTGACAGTGAGCTCGTGTATGGGTGTGTGTGTGACAGTGAGCTAGTGTATGGGTGTGTGTGACAGTGAGCTTGTGTATGGGTGTGTGTGTGTGTGTGAGACAGTGAGCTCGTGTATGGGTGTCTGTGTGGGTGTGTGTGTGTGACAGTGAGCTCGTGTATGGGTGTGTGTGAGTCAGTGTGACTCACTGAGTGTGTGCCTGAACCAACCTGATTCCGATAGTGTATTGCGGAGCGGAGGGACTAATTACTTCCGGCACTCAGTCCCCACCGCATACAACATCCCAAAATAGGCCGTGTCAATCCATCCCTCGTGGATTCTCGTCACTTCATCTCACTCAGTCACTCACTTACTCAGTCACTCACTCACTCAGTCACCTACTCGCTCGCTCACTCACTCGCTCACTCAGTCACTCAGTCGCTCACTCACTCTAAAATAATGTCTCAATTCAAACTCTTCAGCGTGGACATCGTTACTGTGACGGTTTGTGCTGTCAGTGGTTCAGTGACAGAAACTCACTAACTGTGAACTCACAGGTCTGACATCCAAACGCTCTAAACAGAACACACACACATCCTGACACATACACAACACACTGACACACACGTACACAACACACTGACACACACGTACACAACACACTGACACACAAGTACACAACACACTGACACACAGATACACACACACACACACACGTGCAGCACAGGATGGAGCGAGTTGTGTAGTCAGGGAGCAGTGTTGGGGCCAGTGTTGGGGTTAGGGAGCAGTGTTGGGGGCAGGGATCAGTGTTGGGGTTAGGGAGCAGTGTTGGGGTTAGGGAGCAGTGTTGGGGTTAGGGAGCAGTGTTGGGGTTAGGGAGCAGTGTTGGGGTTAGGGAGTAGTGTTGGGGTTAAGGAGCAGTGTTGGGGTTAGGGAGCAGTGTTGGGGACAGGGAGCAGTGTTGTGGACAGGGAGCAGTGTTGGGGTAGGGGCCAGTGTTGGGGTTGAGGCCAGTGTTGGGGACAGGGAGCAGTGTTGGGGACAGGGAGCAGTGTTGGGGACAGTGTTGGGGTGAGGGAGCAATGGTTGGGGCAATGTTGGGGTTAGGGAGAGGGTTGGGGGCAGTGTTGGGGTAAGAGGTAAGGGTGAGGAGGGTTGGTTAGTTAGGCGAAGGCTTACCTAGCTCCTCCAGCTCAGCGGTCATGGACTTGGATCGCAGGGTCAGGGTGGTGCTGGGCGCTCTCTTTGGGGGTGGAGGAGCTGAAACAAAGAGAGCAGAGAGTTTGGACTTTCTGGTGAGGACTCTGCGGGCACTGCCCAGGTGAAGGTGCCATTTCCTCTCCACGGCCTGGATCTCGTCGTAGTCTGCACACGAATCGTTACATTGCTGCAGGATCTTGTTCAGGCTGCGTGTGGAGCCAAACTTCTTCATGGCGCTCTGAGCCAAGCCAAGCCAAGCCAAGCCAGGCTAGGAGCTAGGAGTGGTTACAGTCCTTTACCACGGGGCTGACACGTCTCAGCACGACTTCTGTTATCCCCACACAAGCTCTTAGCACCACAGGCAGTATAGCCATCATGGCTAGGCACCCCCCCCTCTCGCGCTATCTCTCGGTTTCTCTCGCTCCCTTTTTCTATCTCAGCAAACAGTAAAGGAATGCAGCTTTCACTGTGACGGCACAAGGTGGACAGATTCTCTCAGCCTTGTCTCCTCCGCTGGATGGGAACAATGCAGCGTTGCACACTGACTACCATGGAAACCGGGGCAAGGCAATCCGTCCCCCTCCACCCCCTCACTGCTCACCCCGTCACACACAGCCCGGGCTCACGGAGAGCCAGCCAGCGACGGAGAGACACAGGAACAGGCAGTCACACCGCTCAGACACACAGATACACAGTCCTTGGAGATTGTTTAAAGAAAAATATCTTTTGGTGAATTAAATAATAAGCGAGGAGGCGTGAGTGTGTGCGTGACTGCTGAAGGGGGGGGGCGGGGGGCTGCCGCCAGCCGCTGGGAGACCCACAGGCTCCTCATTCTCCCGCACAGTGTCGAGACCAGGACAGGAACAAACTCTAATCAGCTTCAGATCACTGTTCCTGAACCAGCACAGACACCATGGGGGGAGAGAGAGAGAGAGAGAGTGGGGACTGGGGTGAGAGTAGAGAGCTCCAGTGGGGGAGCGAACCCCAGCACAGACACGATGGGGAGAGAGAGAGAGAGAGAGAGAGAGAGCGGGGAATGGGGTGAGAGTAGAGAGCTCCGGTGGGGGAGCGAACCCCAGCACAGACACGATGGGGAGAGAGAGAGAGAGCGGGGAATGGGGTGAGAGTAGAGAGCTCCAGTGGGGGGTGTCTGTATTAGAGATAGTAACAGAGAGACAGAGCTAAAGACTCAGAACCAGAATCTAAATTGTTCAATATTCAAATTTTTTAAAAGGAACATTGGTCGCCAAGACAACAGTGTGCGGTGAGAGCCAGGGCTGCATTTACTGCCTCTCCTCCTCTCAGCTACACTGACAGCCTGGCCTGGCTATACAGGACAGACAGGAGGGCATTGGGTGTGTGTGTGTGTGTGTGTGTGTGTGTGTTGTCTGGGTGTGTACATGCTTGTGTGTGTGTGTGTGGAGGGTGTGTGGTTGGACTCTGTGCGGATGTCTGTATGTGGGGGGATATGTGTGTGCATGAAAGTGGGTACGTATGTGTGTGTATGTGAGTGGGTGTGCGTGTTGTGTGGGGGTGGGATGAGTGTATGTGGGGGATATGTATGTGTAAGTGGGTGTGTATGTATGTGAGGGGAATGTGTGTGTGTGTTTGTGTGTGGGGGGTGAATATGGGGGGGATGTGTGTATGTGGGGGGAGGTTTGTGTGGGTGTGTATGTGTGGGGGGATGTGTGTATGTAAGGGGATGTGTGTTTATGGAGGGATGTGTGTGAGTGGGTGTGTATGGGGGGTGAATATGGGGGGGATGTGTGGGTGGGGGAGAATGTGTGTGTGAGTGGGTGTGTATGTGTGGGGGATGTGTGTGTGTGTGTGTTTGGGGGGGGGGGGTAAATGTGGGGGGATGCGTATGTGTATGTATGTGATCGGTGGTGTATGTGTGTGTCGGGGGGATGTGTGTGTGGGGGGGTGGTGAATGTGGGAGGGATGGGTGTTTGTGGCGCGGGGGGTGGGGGGATGTATGAGTGGGTGTGTATTTGTGGGGGATGTGTATGTGTGTAGGTGGTGTTGAGCCAGGCTGCCCTCTGCACTCCTCACCGAGTGGCTGATATTCAGACGGCAGGGCAGGGCAGGGCAGGGCAGGCAGGGCAGGGCAGGGCAGGGCAGGCAGGGCAGGGCAGGGCAGGGCAGGGCAGGGCAGGGCGGGCAGGGCAGGGCGGGCAGGGCAGGGCAGGGCAGGGCAGGGCAGGGCTGGCAGGGCAGGCAGGGCAGGCAGGGCAGGGCAGGCAGGGCAGGGCAGGGCAGGGCAGGGCAGGGCAGGGCGGGCAGGGCAGGCAGGGCAGGCAGGGCAGGGCGGGCGGGCAGGGCAGGGCAGGGCAGGGCAGGGCGGGCAGGGCAGGGCGGGCAGGGCAGGGCAGGGCAGGGCAGGGCAGGGCTGGCAGGGCAGGGCAGGGCGGGCAGGGCAGGGCAGGGCGTGCGAGTGGCCTCCAGCACACACAGCCACCTTACGTTACAAATAATGCCCAGCCGGCCCCTGCGTTACTCAGCACAGTTTCCTCAAACGAACACCAGACACAATGCTTCCCTCTTGCTTCCAAACAACAGATGTTTTCAGCATAAACTGTAAAGATGTCTCAAAGTGCTTCAGAGTATACTGTAAAGTGAACTGACAGTATATTTTGTGAGCGAAACACAGCAGCCAATTGCGCACAGCAGCGTCCCACAAACTGTCTGGATTGAGTGTCCAAATTACTATTCATTTTTTAAAAAACATTTTTTGTTTTGAAGGAAAAAGCGATCCGCTAATTGTCTAACAACCGAGTTCCTACTGACTGCTGGTAAACAGAGGCGCGTGGAGTAAGGAAACTTGTCTAAGGTTTCACCTTGACCCGGGTCCTCACACTTGTGAGGCGAGTGTGCCAACCACTAAAAGGCTACAGGATTCCATAAATCAGAGCATCTCGTTCATTCAGGTTCAATGAGATAAGCCCACACAACAGGGGCTGGAATCTGACGACCATCGACCTGTCCGTCCATCACACACATTAACAACCTCTTACCCTGGAAGGTTGCAAGTGAAAGGTGTATTTTTACAGTGTCTATCATGGAGACATAATAATGTGCTTCACTCTAACTACTGACAATTGTGGCACTGCCTTTTGTAGGCAAACACGGTTCCCTGGTCACAGTAACGCAGTGACCAGAGAGCAGCGGGTTCCTGGGGTTGCTGGTAGGAGACACAGAGTTTAATGTCACAGCCAGAGCACTGGTGTGAGCACACTGTGCGCAGTGTCAGGCCTCAACCGGAAGGTTGGATTGGCTTTGAAGAGCAGCTTTATGAGAATAGTAAATAAATAAAGGTACAGCGCCCTTTCACCACAGGAGGATATCTGAAACGCTTCACGGGATACAACAACAACAACAACAAAATTACATGTGTATATCGCCTTTCACATCGGGAAGACGTCCGAAAGTGCTGGACAGACCGAGTTTCGGACCCGAGCTGGGGGTCGGGGTCGGGGTTGGGGAGGGTGGAGGCGGAAAGCAGGGAGATCGAAAGCACGGTCGAAGAGGAGGGTCTTGAGATAGGTCTTAAAGTAGGCAAAGGAGGGGGCGAGGCAGAGGGACTGCGGGATGAAGTTCCAGAGGGTGGGGGCAGAGTGGCAGAAGGCCCCCCACCAATAGTGGGGCGAGCAAGGCGGGGGCGTGAAGCAGCCCGGAGCCCGCTGAGCGGAGGGAGCGAATAGGACGGTAGTGGGTTAGGAGGTCGGAAGGAGCAAGACCATGGAGGGCTTTGAAGGTGAGGACCAGGATCTTGACCTGTATCCTCTGTGTGATGGGGAGACAGTGGGGTCGGGCGAGGATGGGGGTGATAGGGTCGCAGAGCCTGGTGTGGGAGAGGACACGGGCTGCAGAGTTCTGGATGATCTGCAGCCTGTGGAGGAAGGAGTTGGGGGCCGACAAGCAGTGAGTTTGCATAGTCAAGTCGATGTAATGAAGGCGTGTACGAGGGTCTCGGTGGCCTGCAGAGTGAGACAGTGGGGGAGCCGGGCGATGTTGCGGAGGTGGGGGAAGGCAGAGCGGGTCATGGCGCAGATTGGGATAGAAAGGATAGTTGAGGGTCAAACAAGACCCCAAGGTTCGGGACTGGCTCAGTGAGGGGGAGTGAGCCCCATGGATGGTGATCTGTCAGCCTGAGGTGATGAGGCGCTGTCGGGAGCCAATCAGGAGCCTCGGTTTTGGTGACGTTCAACTGAAGAAAGTTACTCTCATCCAGGCCTTGACGTCTGACAGACATTCTGTCAGGACAGCAGTGGGTCCTGGAGTCAAGGGTGGGGGCAGAGAGGTACAGTTAGGTGTCATGTGGAAGTTGACCCCATGTCTGTGGGTGATGTCACCAAGAGGGAGGATATAGATATTGAAGAGGGGACCAAGGATAGAGCTCTGAGGAACGCCGTGCGAGATGGTTCGGGGGCTGGAGGAGAAACCGTTTGTGGAAGTGAAGTACAGGTGGTGTGAGAGGTACGATCTGAACCAGTTATGGCCAACGCAGTGAAGCTGAGAGGAGAGGTGGTGGATGACGATAGAGTGATCAACGGTGTTGAAAGAAGCAGAGAGGTCAAGGAGGATGAGGAGGCAGAGGGAGCCCTGGTCGCAGATGGACAGAATGTCATTTGTCACTTTGACCAGGGCTGTTTCCGTGCTGTGGACGGCACGGAAACCTGATTGGCGAGTTTCGAGAAGGGAGTGGAGAGAGAGGAAGGAGTGAAGCTGAGAAGCAACAACTCGGTCCAGGACCTTGGAGAGGAAAGGGAGGTTGGAGATGGGGTGGTAGTTTGAGAGTAGAGAAGGGTCCAGGGAGGTTTTTTAAGGATAGGAGTGATGATGGCGGTTTTAATCGGGTGGGAACAGCACCAGAGGACAGGGAGAAGTTTATGACGTCTGTGAGTAGAGGGGAAAGTAGATGGAGCTGGGAGCTAAGGAGAGGGATAGGGATGGGGTCGAGGGAGCAGGTGGTAGGTTTCATGCAGGTTATAGTGGTGGTGAGAGGGGAGGGGGAGACAGATTTGAAGGTGTGGGGGGAGGGATGGGTAGGGGCCAGGGTTGGAGGGGGAGATGGGGAGGGTATAGTAGACGGAAGGGCAGAGATCGCTTTGTCGATGATGGTGACGTCCGAGACCGTGAGGCCCCGAGTGATCACCAGGTCGAAGGTGTAACCAAGGACGTGAGTGGCAGAGTGGATGTGGAGGGAGAGGTTGAGGGAGGAGAAGTCAGCAAAGGCAGAGCATAAACTGTAAAGTATCATAGAATCTTACAGCACAGAAGGAGGCCATTCAGCCCATTGTGCCTGTACCGGCTCTTTGACAAGAGCTACCAACTAGGCCCACTTCCTCGCTCTCACTTTGCAAATTTTATCTTTTCAAGTACATATCCAATTCCCTTTTGAGTTATTATTGAACTGCTTCCACCAGCCTTTCAGGCAGTGTGTTCCAGATCGTAACAACTCTCTGTGTAAAAATATTTCTTCTCGTCTCCCCTCTGGTTCTTTTGCCAATTATCTTAAATCTGTGTCCTCTGGATATCGACCCAACTGACAGAGGAAACAGTTTTTCCTTATTTACTCTACCAAAACCCCTCATAATTTTGAACACCTCTATTACATCTCCTCTCAACCTTCTCTGCTCTAAGAAGAACAATCCCAGCCTCTCTAGACCCTCCACATAACTGTAGTCCCTCAACCCTGGTAACATTCTGATAAATCTCCATGGCACCCTCTCCCAAGACCTTGACATCCTTCCTAAAGTGTGGTGCCCAAAATTGGACATACTACTCCAGCTGAGGCTTAACCAAAATGTAGTGACTGTGTGTTTTGCAGGTGAATGCAGCAGCTAATTTGCACACAGCAATGTCCCACAAACAACCATGAGGCAAATAAACAATTTTAATTGGTAAATTGTTGCCCAGGACACCGGTTTAACAAAGGCCGGTACCTCCAACAATGCAGCTTTCCCCAGCACTGCAGTGGAGTGAAATCTTAGATTAGGAGTTCCAAGTTTCAATGTACGTTTTGAACCCACAACCTTTTGACTCAGAGACGAGAGTGCTACCAACTGAGCCAAGCTATAAGGTGTAGTGACTGCGTTTTGTAAGTGAATGTGGCAGAGAGCAATTAAAACTGCAGGAAAGAGGAGAGAGAGAAATGAAGAGGCGGACGAGGAGGTGATGAGATAGAAAGTTTAGTTGAATGAGCAGACGGTTGTTACAGATAATGAAGTCCTTCGTTTGCTACGTTGCTTCCAACTTCTCCACCTCACACCGCGAGTTGCCCGCGTCCTGGGCAATGAGTGACAAAGGCAGAGGCGGAGCATCTCTTTGTATTCCTTCTCTTGAGGTAGTCGTGTTGACTTATGTAAAATAGGGGGTGAAACTAGCGGCATTTCCTAGTGTGTGATCACAAGAATTGTGTTGTCACGAAGATCTTGGTGTCACACTAGTATAAGGATCGCTGGATCACAAGGATCTTGTGTCACTGTTACAAGGATTATCTGGTTATCAGGATCACATTATCAACTCAACCACAAGGGTTCTGTTATCACAAGGATCACATGATCACAAGGCTTGTGTTGTTACAAGAATCGTATTAACACAAGGATCATATTAACACGAGGAGTGTGTTATCCCAAGGATCGTATTAACACGAGGAGTGTATTAACACAAGGATCATATTAACACGAGGAGTGTATTAACACAAGGATCGTATTAACACCAGGAGTGTATTAACACAAAGATCATATTAACACGAAGAGTGTGTTATCACGAGGAGTGTATTAACACAAGCATCATATTAATACAAGGATCATATTAACACAAGGAGTGTGTTATCACGAGGAGTGTATTAACACAAGGATCGTATTAATACAAGGATCGTATGAACACGAGGATCATGTTATCAAAACGCAGCCAGTTTCACCCTCAAGAAATGTGCAAAATGAAGAGTGGTAGAAAGTAAAGGGATGACATTCGGTGTCGATGGTACACGCTATTCACAGGGCTACAGATCAGACGCTTATACAGACGTTGATTTACAGATGTGGGGGGGAAGTGTCGCTGGGGCTCGGCTGCTGTTCCGCTGGTTGCTGTGGCGGGTGGTGGAGCTGCTCGTTCATGGAGTCAGGGCCGGGGCTGAGGAGCCTGAGAGGCTGGGTGTCGGGGGACCTGAGGGAGCTCTGGACGGCAGCATCCCGCAGCTGGGGGCACGAGGCCTGCTGGTTCCTCACTAGCGTGCCCAGGAGGTTCACCAGGGAGCCCACCTGCTCGGTGAACTGCGCCCAGCCCACCTGCATGATGCTGTGGGATGTGGTCATGTCACTGTGCATCTGGGTGTAGCCGGACTGGACGGTGGCGTGGAAGTTCTGCACCGCCTGGTGGAGCAGGTGTACGGTATCCTCCAGCACCCGCTGGGCATGTGCTGGGGACGTGGCCTCCACACCGCCCTCTGCCCCCTCCACACCGTCCTCAACCTCCGGCACAGCACAGTCCACAGACGTCCCTGAGGAGGAGCTGGCTCCCAGCATCAGGCCCTCCGGCCATTCCTCTGGACAGTCGCAGGGGTCCAGCTCGGGCTCGGGGTCCGGCTCGGGATGGGGGTCCGGCTCAGGCTCGGGCTCAGGCTGGGGGTCAGCCTCAGGGTCAGACTCGGGGTCGGGGGGAAGGGAGGTGCCCTGCTCCACGTGGTCAGACTTGTCCTCCTCCTCCTCCTCCTCGGAGCCCTCGTCGTCCTTGGAGAAGTTGATGAAGCGCAACAGTGACTCTGTGCTGGTGGTTGTTGTGCTGGACTCGTCTGCAGAGACAGAAGGGAAGGTGACCGCTGAGATTGGAGCTCGGGACAAACACAGACTGACAATAAAGCTGTTACAGGCGACAGAGTACCACGTTGGGAGGGTTTGGTCAATTTGTGGTTAGTTTTCCCACTTTCCTTCTCTCCTCTCCTGAAGGCTGTGACTCCTACTGAGGGACAGTTCGGAGACTAAATCGTTCCCTCCCACCCCAGCCCCTTGCCCTGAGGCCTGGACAGTGAGCATGGCTGTCGTGTCAGCCAAGCCCCATCCTGTCCTTAGCTAACGCGGGGGCGAGGCGAGGGTTCAGGGGGCACTAGTTAGCCATCAGAGAGAGTCCCTCCTTAGCCCAGGGCCATTCAGCCCAATGGTAGGCAGTGTCCTCACCCCTCTTCAACGGCTGAGATCAGCAAACAGTCTAGACCAGGGCTGGCACCTGGGAGGCTCCTGGTCTGTCTGGCTCAGCGCCATACCACAGGCTGCCTTTCCCCCTGAGCCATTGGGAGCGCCACCACTTAGCGACTAAACAATAATCAAGATGGAAGAGCTGCTGTTAATGGGACTGAACATAGTGGCATGCAGCGCTGGCGGGCTTGGCGGGCTGGCTGGTGGGGCTGTCAGGACATGGTGAGGCTGAGAGTTATTTCTATCTAAGACAGACAGGAGACAGTATGTAACTTACCCCGCTCGGCTGCTGATTCGGGTCTTGAGGTGCTGCTCAATCCGGCTCCTTCCAGCGCATGCGGTCGAGCTACCGAACCTCTGGGGTCAGAGAGAGGACTCCTAGTTGCCCTGCTCTCCTGTCCAGGTGCTCTGCGATTTTACTGGGCTGTTGTTTAACTCCTGCAAACCCCCTTTTAAGCTCATTAAATGGGTTGTGGCCGTCGGCTGCCCTTTGGGCACTTTAGGATATTTGGTTGTGACAATGGTTCGGGCCCGTTTTGCCATTCGATGGTCCTCTGTTGTCAGTAACACTGTGCTTCCAAACAAATGCATGCTTCATATTTAGTGCAGCGCATAGCCCCGCCCTCCTCACAAACACTCCCCATCACCCACCCTAGGCACAGCCCTCCCCAACCCCCCGCAAACACAACCTGAGGCTCCATCCCACCGCTCTCCACACTTTACACTTTCCCACACAGTTCCTGACAATGTGTAAACCCTTTGTGGAGATTGACTGTCCCGATCTCTGAGGTACATGTGTAAATAAACCAGTTATCTTGTCTCAGCAACATCTTAAATACTTGGTAGAGCAAAAAATCAGGCGTCTCCTGATCAGTAGATAGGGCGATGGTAGACACATTCACACCAGAGAGGCCGGTGATAGACCTTCACAACACACAGGCCAGTGATAGAGACCTACACGCCACACAGGCCAGTGATAGAGACCTACACACCACACAGGCCAGTGATAGAGACCTACACACCACACAGGCCAGTGATAGACCTACACACCACACAGGCCAGTGATACAGACCTACACACCACACAGGCCAGTGATACAGACCGACACACCAGAGAAGCCAGTGATAGACCTACACACCAGAGAGGCCAGTGATAGAGACATACACACCACACAGGCCACCAGTGTTAGAGACCTACACACCAGAGAGGCCAGTGATAGACCTACACACCAGAGAGGTCAGTAATAGACCTACGCACCACACAGGTCAGTGATAGACCTACACACCAGAGAGGCTATATGCCACTGTTAAAGTCTTTAGCGAGTACCCATAACAGATAATTTCCTTCTCTGAGTGCCAAATCAGCCAATTTCTTTACCAAACACCTACGTTAAGCTGCTGGCTTTGGTGTCACAATCAGCCCTCACCCTCTCTCTCTGTAATGTCATTCCCTCTGGATTTTCCTCTAAACGGTAACCCACATTCACTGCACCAAGGCGACTCCCTCATCTCCTCTGTCACCCTCTCTCAGTCGGTCAGTGCCCAGTCTCCCTGGCTGACCACCCCCAACCCCCGTCTCAGCCAATCACACATGTGCACACAGTGGGGAAACCTTCCCCTTCACTTTCCATAGAGTTTCAACTCCACAACTCAGCAGCAATTCACAGGATTACATTTAAACCAAGTTATATTCACAACACAATCCACCAGCAGTGAAAGAGTTAAGTCCGCCAGTAAAGTAAGTGTAGCCGTGTCCTGACCTTTCTTCCTCAGGCCTTCCTCCAGCTCCAGCTTGCGGCTGACGGTCACCACCTTCATCACTAGGTGGTTGCCCCCCTGGCGAATCATCGAGACCACCTGCTTGTGGCCGACCTTCACCACATTATTGCTGTTCACCTGAGGGAGGAAGTTCTGAGCATCAGAGAGTGATCCACACCACTCCCTCTGTCTCCCCCCCCCCCCACCCCCTCCCCCCCCCCCCCCCCCCCCCCCCCCCCCCCCCCCCCCCCCACCCCCCCTCTGTCTCCCCCCCCCACACCACTCCCTCTGTGTCCCCCACACCACTCCCTCTGTGTCCCCCAGCTTTTAACAGTTTAATAAAGGACAGTAACTGTGACAATGCTGCGCTTGGCCCCCAGTACTGCACTAGCACCTGGACTGTGAGCTCAGAGACCCTGAACTTGAACCTACGATCTCCTGACTGTGGAGTGAGAGCACGAGTGGCTGAGAGGGCTGATGTGTAAGCCTGAGGCTGATGCTGTTTGCATTGGCGGAATCTATTGAGAAGTTCACTGAGGCTGTGTGCGCTGCCCTGACCACAGCCGGCATCTATCTAAGGGGTAATAATCCTTTCAAAACAAAAATAAATTTTAAAAAAAACAGTAATTTGGTCACTCAACTCACGGCTGTGTGTGGGACGCTGCTGTGCGCAATTGGCTGCTGTGTTTCGCCCACAAAATATACAGTCTATTCACTTTACAGTGTATCCTGTGAAGCGCTTTGAGACGTCTTGATGATGTGATGAGGCGCTGTGTCAAACGCCAGGATTATTATTATTACTACTTTTGGAAAAGAGAAGGGAGTTTCTCTCTCTCTTCCGGTGTCCTGGCAGACAATTGCTCGTTCACTTCATGGCTGTTTGCGAGACATTGGACTGTGGGCATTATCAAACTCAGGGCCTCTCGCTTGCGAGACGACTGCACTAAGCACTGAGCTGCAGGACAGTTTGTGTGACTGTGGTGCTGCCCTGCGATGGGCAGACACGGTGACCGACCGGGAGGCAATCTGACTGAACAGGAAGTCTCACCTCGATCAGGAAGTCGCCAGTCCGCAGTCCAGCTTTCCAGGCCACGCCCTCCACATCCACAGACTCCAGGTACTGCAGCGCTGGGAAAGCTGGGGTCGGGGTGAACTCCTCAATGGGCGTCTCGGCTGGTGTAGAGAGAACACCCTGATTACCCCACTCCACATCACACTCGCATACACACACACTTCATGTCACACACACCCCACGTCACACACACATCCCATGTCACACACACGCTCCACGTCACACACATGCCCCACGTACATCCCATGTCACACACACGCTCCACGTCACACACGCCCCACGTCACACGCACATCCCATGTCACACACACGCTCCACGTCACACACACGTCCCATGTCACACACACCCTCCACGTCACACCACACACGTCCCACGTCACACACACGCCCCACGTCACACACACACCCCACGTCACGCACACGCCCCTGGTCACACACACACACTCCCCATGTCACACACATGCCCCAGGTCTCACACACACACTCCACGTCATGCACACTTTCCACGTCACACACACGTTCCATGTTACACACACCCCACATCCCTCACCAAGCCTACCTTCACTCACCTCGGACACTTTGCTCATGTCCTCACACCCAGGCCACTGACACTCATTCACGCCTTCGTCACATCCACTGTGACTTTCTCAGCACTCTCCTCACTGCTCTCTCCTGCTCCACCATACAAGCACTGCAACTCAGCCAAACTCCACTGCCCGCACCCTCACAAAACTCACACTCAATCTTTCCAATCCTCCCCAATTTAGCCTAAACTCCACTGCCCTCACCCTCACCAACACCAAACTCACACCAATCATCACCAACTCAGCCCAAACTCCAGCTCTTTGAAATATGGTTACGTCCCACACTCCTATCTCTTGCTTGGCATCCAATCTCAGGCCTGAAAAGCTCCCAGAGGCAGTAGCTTATGTGTTTGTGTATTGAGTTTGTGTGTATGAGTTTGTGCATGTGTGGAGTGTGTGTATGTGTGGAGGGTGTGTGTATGTGTGGAGTGTGTGTGGAGGGTGTGTGTGTATGTAGAGTGTGTGTATGTGTGGAGTCTGTGTGTGCAGAGGGTGTGTGTGTGTGGAGTGTGTGTGGAGGGTGTGTCTACAGAGAGTGTGTATGTGTGGAGTGTGTGTGTAGAGGATGTGTGTGGTTGGAGTGTGTTTGTGTATGTGTGGAATGTGAGTGTGCACGTGCATTTGGAGTGGGTGTGCACGTGCCTGTGGGGTGAGTGTGCGCGGAGTGTAGACATTAAATCGAACCTTTGGCTCCTCGCAGCACAAACCCGAACCCCTCATTCTCCTTCTTCTGCAGCATGGCTGTCTTTTCCTCGATGACATAGTCACTGTGGGAGAGAGAGAAGAGGCCGGCTGTGTTACTCTGTAAAACCATCTTCCCAGGATCATTCAGTCTCACGATGACGTGCCTCTGTGTCTCTCTCTCCCCCTCTCCTTCTGCCCCTTTCTCTCCTTCCCTCTCGCTTTCTCCCTTTCCTTCTGTCTCTCTCTCCCACACGCGCACGCTCTCTCTCTCTCTCTCTCTGGCAAGCCGCGGGAGTTAATGAAATGAACGGAGCTGCTTGCAGACACACACACACATCACAACCACACACATACACCCCTCCGTCAGGCTGCTGACATGCATGAAAGATGTCTCATCTCCGACCCACCCCCCTCAACCATCACCCCCTCCAACAATGAAGCTCCCACCATCCCCTCCCTCGCTGCTCGCCTGTTACATAATGATGAGGGGAGCAGAAGGGAGAGGAGGAGAGGAGGGGGAAGAGGTATCAGCTGCACAATAAGCTGGAAGCTGACATTTGCAACAAAAGGCAGCTGCTGGGTGCTGGAGGCAGGCAGCGAGGGCTGCTCCACACTGCAGAAACTGACTCACACTGGCTCCACATCACAACCCCACAGCTCTCAGCCGACTGCAGAGCAAGTGTCACCGTCACACCTTGTTGTACAGAGCCGTCCCTGCACCCCGCCATCGACATACCGTACAACAACAAGTGACATTTACACAGCGCCTTTCATGTCAGGAGGACGTCTCAAGATGCTGGACAGTCAGGGATTTGGACCCGAGTAGTGGTTTGGGATCAGGAGGGTGGAGGGCAAGAAGGGTGGGAGTAGGAGAGTGGACAAAGGCGCGGTTGGAGAGGAGGGTTTTGAGACATGCCTTAAAGGAGGCGAGGGAGGGAGAGAGGCAAAGGGACTGTGGGATAGAGTTGCAAAGGGTGAGGACAGAGATGCAACAGCACAAACAAATGCCACACGCAAGAACAGGGAGCGAAAACACATGCAAAAACACATAGAAATGCCACATGCAAAAACACAGCGAATGTGATGGCTGCCAATCTCCCTCACATCACCTCTCCCCCACCCCTTTGTGATCCTGAAACTGCCCCTTAATCCTCTGCGCTCCAATGAGATAACCCACAATTTCTCACATTCTCCTCTCACTGCCCCAGAGTTCACCTGCACCCGCCTTTATACCCTCCCCGCAATGGGCACCTCAGCTTCATACCCTTCTTCCAATGGGCACCAAAGACTGCACAGACTGCATGATGAATGGGATATAGGGTACAGGGAGAGAGTGACAGTGCATGTAATGGGGAGAGAGTGACAGTGTATGTTATGGGGAGAGAGTGACAACATCAACAACAATAAAAATTATATGTGTAAAGCACCTTTTACATCGGGAGGACGTCCCAAGGCGCTGGACAGATAGTGTTACGGACCCGAGCTGGGGGTCGAGGTCGGGGAGGGTGGAGGGCAGGGTCGGAAGCAGGGAGATTGAAAGTATGGTCGAAGAGGAGGGTCTTGAGATGGGACTTGAAGGTGGCAAAGGAGGGGGCGAGATGGAGAGACTGCGGGATGGAGTTCCAGAGCGTGGGGACAGAGTGGCAAGGCCCTTCTGCCAATAGTGGGGCGAGTGAGGTGGGGGACGTGAAGCAGGGTAGAAATCTCTGGCCCATTGAGCAGGGGGAGCGAACAGGGTGGTAGGGGGTTAGGAGGTGGCAGTAGTAGAGGGGAACAAGACCATGGAGGGCTTTGAAGGTGAGGACCAGGATCTTGTACCGTATCCTCTGTGTGATAGGAAGGAGTTGGGGGCCGACAAGCAGGGAGTTTGTATAGTCAAGTCGATGTAATGAAGGCATGTACGAGGGTCTCGGTGGCCTGCAGAGTGAGACAGTGGGGGAGCCGGGCGATGTTGCGGAGGTTGGGAAGGCAGAGCGGGTCATGGTGCAGATGTGGGGTAGAAAGGATAGTTGAGGGTCAAACAAGACCCCAAGGTTCGGGACTGGCTCAGTGAGGGGGAGTGAGCCCCATGGATGGTGATCTGTCAGCCTGAGGTGAGGAGGCGCTGACCGGAGCCAATCAGGAGCCTCGGTTTTGGTGACGTTCAACTGAAGAAAGTTGGCTCTCCTCCAGGCTTTGACGTCTGACAGACATTCTGTCAGGACAGCAGTGGGGTCCTGGAGTCAAGGATGGGGGCAGAGAGGTACAGTTGGGTGTCATGTGGAAGTTGACCCCATATCTGTGGGTGATGTCACCAAGAGGGAGCATATAGATATTGAAGAGGGGACCAAGGACAGAGCCCTGAGGAACGCCACACAAGACGGTCCGGGGGCTGGAGGAGAAGCCATTTATGGAAGTAAAGTACAGGTGGTGTGAGAGATACAACCTGAACCAGTCAAGGACAGCGCCGTGAAGGTTGAGGTGAGAGGAGAGATGGTGGATGAGAATAGAGTGGTGTTAAAAGCAGCAGAGAGGTCAAGGAGGATGAGGAGGCAGAGGGAGCCCTGGTCGCAGATGGACAGAATGTCATTTGTCACTTTGACCAGGGCTGTTTCTGTGCTGTGGACGGCACGGAAACCTGATTGGAGGGTTTCGAGAAGGGAGTGGAGGGAGAGGAAGGAGTGAAGCTGAGAAGCAACAACTCGGTCCAGGACCTTGGAGAGGAAAGCGAGGTTTGAGATGGGGTGGTAGTTAGGGAGTAGAGATGGGTCCAGGGAGGGTTTTTTAAGGATAGGAATGATGACAGTGGTTTTTAATCGGGTGGGAACAACACCAGAGGACAGTAAGAGATTAACAATGTCAGTGAGTAGAGGAGCAAGGAGATAGAGCTGGGAGGTAAGGAGAGGGATAGGGATGGAGTCGAGGGAGCAGGTGGTGGCTTTCATATGGGTTTTGGTGGTGATAAGACAGGAGGGGGAGACAGGTTCAAAGGTGTGGAGGGAGGGATGGGTGGGGGCTGGGGTGGGAGGGGGAGATGGGGAGGGGGAAGCAGATGCAGTGGCAAAGGCAGGTATTTCGGATTCGAGGAAATCCAGCATCACCTCGCAGTTAGCATTTGAGGTGTGGATGGGAGAGGCGTAAGAGGTTGAGCGGAGGAGCCGGTGTATGTAATGGGGACAGAGTGACAGTACATCAACAACTACAACTTGCATTTACACAGCGCCTCTCACACAGGGCAGCGTCCCAGAGCGCATGACAGTAGTGGAGCACCACCCCGAGCCGGGGGGAGGGGGAAGGTGACCGTAGGCACTGGTCGAAGAAGAAGGTCTTCAGGCGTGACCTGAAGATGGAGAAGGAGGGGGCAAGGCTGAAGGATAGAGGAAGAATGTTCCAAAGTTTCGGGAAGAGAGCCATGCTGTACCTGTGAGATGAAAAGTTGTCATACGAGCCGACAGTGTAGTGCCTGAAGAGCCGTTTGGTTCGATCCTCTCGTGTTTCTGTAACAAGAGACAGAATTAGAGAGAAAGACTCTAACCCTGACCCGGGAGTGTGGACACACAGTGTAGAGGAGCGTTACTGTGTCTCTAACCCTGACCTGGGAGTGTGGACGCACAGTGTAGAGGAGCTTTACTGTCTCTAACCCTGACCTGGGAGTGTGGACACACAGTGTAGAGGAGCTTCACTGTGTCTCTAACCCTGACCTGGGAGTGTGGACACACAGTGTAGAGGAGCTTTACTGTGTCTGTAACCCTGACCTGGGAGTGTGGACACACAGTGTAGAGGAGCGTTACTGTGTCTGTAACCTGTGCTGTCGCTGATCCACCACTAGATGGGAGTATTGCTCACGTTTCCAATTACACTCACGAGTTTTAACATTTTCTCTCACTGTGTGGCTGTGTTTATGGTGTGGGTACACCGCGTGTGGCTGTGTTTATGGTGTGGGTACACCGCCTGTGGCTGTGTTCATGGTGTGGGTACACCGCGTGTGGCTGTGTTCATGGTGTGGGTACACCGCGTGTGGCTGTGTTTATGGTGTGGGTACGCCGCGTGTGGCTGTGTTTATGGTGTGGGTACACCGCGTGTGGCTGTGTTTATGGTGTGGGTACACCGCGTGTGGCTGTGTTTATGGTGTGGGTACACCGCGTGTGGCTGTGTTCATGGTGTGGGTACACCGCGTGTGGCTGTGTTCATGGTGTGGGTACACCGCGTGTGGCTGTGTTTATGGTGTGGGTACGCCGCGTGTGGCTGTGTTTATGGTGTGGGTACGCCGCGTGTGGCTGTGTTTATGGTGTGGGTACGCCGCGTGTGGCTGTGTTCATGGTGTGGGTACGCCGCGTGTGGCTGTGTTTATGGTGTGGGTACGCCGCGTGTGGCTGTGTTTATGGTGTGGTACGCCGCGTGTGGCTGTGTTTATGGTGTGGGTACACCGCGTGTGGCTGTGTTTATGGTGTGGGTACACCGCGTGTGGCTGTGTTCATGGTGTGGGTACACCGCGTGTGGCTGTGTTCATGGTGTGGGTACGCCGCGTGTGGCTGTGTTTATGGTGTGGGTACGCCGCGTGTGGCTGTGTTTATGGTGTGGGTACGCCGCGTGTGGCTGTGTTCATGGTGTGGGTACACCGCGTGTGGCTGTGTTCATGGTGTGGGTACGCCGCGTGTGGCTGTGTTTATGGTGTGGGTACACCGCGTGTGGCTGTGTTTATGGTGTGGGTACACCGCGTGTGGCTGTGTTTATGGTGTGGGTACACCGCGTGTGGCTGTGTTTATGGTGTGGGTACACCGCGTGTGGCTGTGTTTATGGTGTGGGTACGCCGCGTGTGGCTGTGTTTATGGTGTGGGTACGCCGCGTGTGGCTGTGTTTATGGTGTGGGTACGCCGCGTGTGGCTGTGTTTATGGTGTGGGTACGCCGCGTGTGGCTGTGTTTATGGTGTGGGTACGCCGCGTGTGGCTGTGTTTATGGTGTGGGTACGCCGCGTGTGGCTGTGTTTATGGTGTGGGTACGCCGCGTGTGGCTGTGTTTATGGTGTGGGTACGCCGCGTGTGGCTGTGTTTATGGTGTGGGTACGCCGCGTGTGGCTGTGTTTATGGTGTGGGTACGCCGCGTGTGGCTGTGTTTATGGTGTGGGTACGCCGCCTGTGGCTGTGTTTATGGTGTGGGTACGCCGCCTGTGGCTGTGTTCATGGTGTGGGTACACCGCGTGTGGCTGTGTTTATGGTGTGGGTACGCCGCCTGTGGCTGTGTTTATGGTGTGGGTACACCGCGTGTGGCTGTGTTTATGGTGTGGGTACACCGCGTGTGGCTGTGTTTATGGTGTGGGTACACCGCGTGTGGCTGTGTTTATGGTGTGGGTACGCCGCCTGTGGCTGTGTTTATGGTGTGGGTACGCCGCCTGTGGCTGTGTGTATGGTGTTCTCTCCCTGCTCTGTCTCTCCATCATGTCTGTGCTGGTGCTCACTCCTCCACTCTATTGATCACATAAGAACATAAGAATCAGGAGCAGGAGTCGGCCACTCGAGCCTGTGCCCCCTCCAGCCTGTGCCCCCCTCCAGCCTGTGTCCCTCCAGCCTGTGCCCCCTCCAGCCTGTGTCCCTCCAGCCTGTGCCCCCTCCAGCCTGTGCCCCCTCCAGCCTGTGCCCCCTCCAGCCTGTGCCCCCTCCGGCCTGTGCCCCCTCCGGCCTGTGCCCCTCCAGCCTGTGTCCCCCTCGAGCCTGTGCCCCTCCAGCCTGTACTCCTCGAGCCTGTGCTCCTCTCCAGCCTGTGCCCCCCTCCAGCCTGTGCCCCTCCAACCTGTGCCCCTCCAGCCTGTGCCCCTCCAGCCTGTGCCCCCCTCCTGGCTGTGCCCCCCTCCAGCCTGTGCCCCTCGAGGCTGTGCCCCTCCAGCCTGTGCCCCCCTCCAGCCTGTGCCCCTCGAGGCTGTGCCCCTCGAGCCTGTGCCCCTCGAGCCTGTGCCCCTCGAGCCTGTGCCCCTCGAGCCTGTGCCCCTCGAGCCTGTGCCCCTCGAGCCTGTGCCCCTCGAGCCTGTGCCCCTCGAGCCTGTGCCCGGCCATTCGATAAGATCGTGGTTGATCTTCTGACCTAACTGTAATCACCCGCTCTGTCCCCATATCCCCTAATCCCTGTTTTTTAAACATCAGTCTCCACCTTGAAAATCACCTCATCTGTGGAGCGACATCTCTGACAATGCAGCACTGCTCCAGCGTGGGGATGAACCAGTCACCACACTGAGGGGCAAGTGCCAATTCCTCAGTAACCCCTCGCGCTCCCCCCCACCCCACCCCACCGCTCAGTGGAGCCCATTGACAGCTGTGTCAGGACCAGCGCTCATGGGGATTGAATTGTTTCTTGTCTTTCAGATGAGATGTTAAACTGATCTCCCGTCATGTGGACCCGAAGATTCCTGGCACTATTGAGAAAGAGCAGCAAGTTCCTCTGCTCGTATCCTGGGCGACAGATAAAATCTTTCCTTTACTGCACTCTGCAATGATTCCTGTGAAATGCTGTGAGACATCCTCACACGTGGCAGCTCTCTACTCTAATCCCAGTGTTTTGAAGCCCCATTACATTGCATACCCTCTTTGCTTCAACACATAGCTCTCAACACATTAGCTTGATAAGGTACAGCAGGATTACACGGCATAACTTAGGGATTTATGCCCTGTATAATATAATAGAAGTTACATTTATACAGAACTGCTCACGTCAGGACGACATCCCAATCCGTCCCAGTCAGTGTCCTGGCCAACAATCCAACACATTCATCACTTGCTCTCGCTTCACGTCTGTGTGTGTGAGGAACTATCCTGTGTGTGTCCACTTAGTTGCCGCATTTGACTACAAATACACAGTCACTACGTGCCAGGTGTTTCTATATTATAGGAGCTATAACACTGTCTCTGACAGTGCAGCTCTCTCTCCCTCCATCACTGTGCTGCATTGTGATCTCAGAGTCCAGATATGGGGCTCGATCCCAACCCCTTCTGACCCGGTGCTGAGAGAGTGACTGAGCAAGACTGAGGAGAGTTCACTTCGCTTGAGTTGGGAAGTGGAAGATTGTGGAAGAATGAGCTGTCTGTCTGGCAGCAGCTCGCTGAGACTGAGTCGTGCCGGAGTCTCTCTGATTTTATCTTAGGATTAGCTGGATAGACTCCCCTCCCTAGACTCAGTCTCCTTCAAGGCCCATCTCAATACCCTCCTCTTCGACAGCGTCTTCGGTCACCCTTTTACCCCTACCCTCCCTGCCCCCAATCCCTCCTGATCCCAACCCCCCAGTGTGGATCCAAATCCTCGACTGTCCAGCGCCTTGGGATGTCCTCCCGGTGTGAAAGCCACTGTTGTTGTTGTGACTGGGCACCAGGTATCAAAGCCTCATGACATTTACACGAGGATATGTGTCAGTCACTAGAGGTCCCACTCTGGAACACTCTCCCTCAACCTCTCTCCACACCCCCCGCTCAAATCCTGTATAAAAACCTACCTTCAGCCTTTCCTTTCCCTCCTCCCACTCGGGCTCTCTCTCCATCACTCTAAAACTCTTTGAGATTTACCGGGTGAAAGACACTGTGAACACAATTATCTTGTGATATCAATACTATTCCTCACATTTGATACAGTGCCTGAAACATCAAAACCGGCTCACAGCAATTCACAGGGGAACAGTGTAGTGACTGAGTGTTTGAAGGCAAATGTGACAACCAATATGCACAGAGCAATCTCCCAGACACGCAGATATGAGTAGAATAAGAGATTTATCTATAGGGTTGTCAGCTGGAACACCAAGAGAGCAATTTGAGTGACAACTGAAGCCAGTCCAGCAATACACAGAAGATTGAGACAATCTCTGAGTGACAGACAATATGAGCCAGAATCTAAAAGGGAGCAAAGGGAGAGTGGGGTTAGACTGGGGGGAGTGAGCTGAGAGTGGGGTTAGAGTGGGGGGGAGCCAAGGGAGAGTGGGGTTGGACTGGGGAGTGAGGGGAGAGTGGGGTTAGGCTGGGGGAATTGGGGTTATACTGCGGGGAGCAATTGGAGAGTGGTGTTAAACTGTGTTGGGGGAATGTCACATCTGCCTGAGCAGCCACAGACAGCAACTCAACTTAAATGTCTCTCTGAAGGATCTCCTCTTCCTCCACCTCCAGACACAGCCCCAGTACTGCCAGGATCAGGTGTGCACAGTGAGTGGCTATTAATACAGCCTCACTCCCCAGGGCGCTGTGGTTGAGGGCAGAGGGAGCATTAGTACTGCTGCTCACTGTCTCAGGCTGATTGTGTACACAAACGGATCAATGCCATGTTAAAGGCTCCTCCAAGACCAGTCCCATGAGCTGCAGATCATTCCTGAGAGGCCTCTGAGAGCTCTGGCTCACACTCAAACAGGCCATCACCCCCCATCGTGACCCTCGGAGATTGCGGTGTTCTGTGTTAACTCATTACTATTGGCCAAAGCTCCCCACACCTCTGTAGGGCTGTTACAGGCAGACCAGTGGGAAAAGGAACAGGGGGTGGGGAGGTCACTGGGTGTGGACTGAATGCCACGGCTTTATTCAGAGTTCCTTCTGCAGGCCCCAGCCACCCTTATCCTCGTCCCCCTCTCTCCCTCCGCCTTCCTACATCTCCCCCTTTCTCCCGAGGGCAGGGGAAATGAGGGGGGAGGGTGGGTGAGGGGGGGGAGAGTGTGGGTGAGGGGTGTGAGAGACAGCTCGGATCAGAGAGAGGGTTAAGCCACCAGAGTATCTCCTGTGAGCTCCTGTTTAATTAGACTATTGATTTTTCTCTTTAATACTGGTTTACCGCAGATTCTCAAAGTCACACAGCCTCACCAGCCTCCGTCCATCGATACCCCATCAGCTGCTGTTTCATCAGAGGTCAGGGCTTAAACTGTTCCTCAGAGGAAATTCCCCAAAGAGGATTACACACGTAATAGTAATAATAATAATCCGTGCATTTGACAGCGTCTTATGTCTTCGAGACATCCCAAAGTGCTTCACAGAACATACTGTAAGGTGTAGTGACTGTGTATTTTGTGGGCGAAACGCGGCAGCCAATTACGCACAGCAGTGTCCCACAAACAGTCGGGGATTGAGTGACCAAATTATTATTATTACTTAAGGGGTTATTACCCCTGGAAATGCCATCTGCCAATCGACTAACAACCAGGTTCCTACTTATTGCTAGGTAAACAGAGGCGTGCGGAGTAAGGAAATGTTTCGCTCTGCCCGGGAATCGAACACAGGTCTAATCCCATTTTCTGCTGTTTCCCCATATCCCTTACTCCCTCCACCAAACTATTCACTCTCTTACCCGTCGATGACCTTCAATATTTCCCCCGTCTCAGTGTTGAGTAGGCCTGGGGTTAGCTGGCTTGTGTGTGTGTATATACTGTGCGTGAGTTAACGTGTGTGGGTGAGTGTGTGTATGTGGTGTCTGTGAAGGTGTATTTGTGTGTGTGTGAGTGTATTTGTGTGTGTGTGTGAAGGTGTGTGTGTGTGTGAGTGTATTTGTGTGTGTGTGTGAAGGTGTGTGTGTGTGAGTGTATTTGTGTGTGAGGGTGTGTGTGTGTGTGTGAGAGGGTGTGTGTGTGTGAGGGTGTGTATCTGTGAGGGTGTGTGTATGTGTGTGTGAGGGTATGTGTGTTTGTGTGAGGGTGTGTGTGTGTGAGGGTGTGTGTATGTGTGTGTGTGAGGGTGTGTGTGTGTGTGTGAGGGTATGTGTGTGTGAGGGTGTGTGTGTGAGGGTGTGCGTGTGAGCTGCCGTGGAGAGGACGAACACCTACCTTGCCGGCTGTCATACTGCCTCATCTGCACCTCCTCCACACATTCTGCTGCAAACCAGCCCGTCCGGCCTTTCACCGTACCTTCCCAGAATCCACCCTCACCAATACTGAGCACTGCAGAGAGACCAGGAGCATGTTAGTAACCCCACCGCGTGACTGTGAACACGGGACAGACAGCATTGAGGGAGCTTTACTCTCTCTCCCTCTAACCGGTGTGGATGGAGAGTGTAGAGGGAGCTTTACTGTCTGTAGTTCAGTTTAACCCACTCACTGACCTGGGAGTGTGGATGGACAGTGTAGAGAGTTTCGCTCTGTCTCTAACCCTGACCTGGGAGTGTGACGGACAGTGTAAAGAGAGCTTTTCTCTGGCCTGGGATTGAAAGCATTTGGTTAAGAGTATTCAAAACAGAACTGACTGTGACTTCCACATATGTATGTCACCTACACATGGAAATCTCCCAGTGTCTTATCACATCGTTAAGACATCTCAAAGTGCTTCGCAGGATATAATAAATAATAATAATCCTTGCATTTAATATATAGCGCCTTAACACATTGATGAGATGTCTCAAAGTGATATACTATAAAGTGGATTTACTGTATGTTTTTGTGGCAGTCAGTTGCGCAAGCAATATCCTACAAACAGCCATGGTGTGGGTGACCAAATTTATTTGGGGGATTGTTGGTTAGGGTACCAGGAGAAACTCCCTTCTCTTTTTGAACAGTGCCATGGACCTTTAACATCCACCTGAACAGGACGGGAACTCGGTTTAACATCTCATCCAAAGGACGGCACCTCTGACGATGCAAGACACCCCTGGTGCTGCATTGGAGCATCACCTTAGACTATGTGATTCCAAGTCACGATTTGCGGATTAAACCCACAACCTTCTGACTCAGAGGCGAGAGTGCTGCCTTGCTTGGTATAAATAGTCACACTTGACAGTAATTCCTGTGAGACGTTTCAACAACAACAAAATTACATTTGTACAGCGCCTTTCACATCGAGAGGACGTCCCAAGGCGCTGGACAGTCTGGAGTTTCGGACCTAAGCTCTGGGTTTATTCAGGTTTTTATTTACATTCTGTGAGTGTGATCTTTCTCTCTGTATGGGTGCCATCTCACACTTCCTCTGTCCTGCAGGGCTTGCTCTCACACGATCGGTTCAGATGAAGAATCTGATCTTGTCCCTCCAGACCACCGATCCTACTGTCCTCCCATCACAGCAACCTCTCTGTCCCTCTCTCTGTGTGGGTGCAGTCATGCTCCAGCTAGCCTGTCTGTAGGATTCTTTCTCTCTGTTTGGCTCTGTCTTTCTGGGTCCAAAGTCACCCTCCACCTAGCCTGTACCCAGATGGTGGGTTGTTTGCAGTTGTATCCAGGGCATGTCTCCACTCTTAACTATTCAACAAGTCCTGTGCAAGCTCTGTCCTTCCTCCAGTCTCCAGCTGGTTAGCTAATCACAGGAACATGATTCAGTACAGCAGCGAGTGCAGTCAGTGACCTTTACTACTTGATTCCTTGTCAGAGCATCTCATCCATTTCATTGACTGGATACCTTAGATAAGCTCGCTCCTTAACCCATGGTTACAGCACTTCTCATAGCAAAATATCTCAAATCGCTCCATGTTTACACAGCGCCTTCCACGTCTAATCGTCTTGAATCGCCAACAAGTTCCTTTTTATGTTCACAGTCTCATCACTTTTTTGGGGTCAGCTAGGTGGCTGACACATGCGGAAACCCATGACCCCCACCTGTTTAACCCCACTTTCCCCTCACTCCCCCCAGTCTAACCCCACTCTACCGCTAGTCTCACCCCACTCTCCCCTCAGTCTAACCCCACCTCTCCCACAAGTCTAACCCTACTCTCCCCTCACTATCCCTAGTCTAACCTCACTCTCCCCTCAATCCCTAATTTCCTTTAAATATCCATCCTGTTCAGACACTAATCTAATTCCCGTGAAAGAACCCATGAGGTTAAGGCTGAGATGTGGTGGAGCTGGACTGTGTGTAAGGAATGGGAGCTCCCGTCGGTGTCACAATGTACAGAGGGACAATCCGAGGCTGTCCTGACATTCTCAATCCCTCAGCTCTTTTTGCAGGAATGGTTAATAAGCTTGGAGCAGCGAACAGATGATAGTGTTCAGTGTGGAGGCTCTCATCCACTGCCAATCTCACAGCATCACAGCTCACACACACCATTTACTGAATTTATTGTCAGCCACCCTCCGCAGGTCAGGATACCAGGAAAGATAAGCCGTGAAGCCACACAGTAACAACCAGCGACTGGGAACACCAGTGACAGGTTCGGAACCGTAGGTGAAGAGAGAGGGGGGTGAGAGCCACCCTGGGTGGGGGAGGGAGGAGAGCCAGGCCTGATGCATTAGACAGTAAGCAAGCGGGGCTGACCCGAGGGAGTCCCTGTCAGTCACAAACATTTCTATTCCGAGCAGAAATGCTGATGAAAGTGGAGCCCCCTGACTGACTGATGTTTAGCCTCCTCCAGGGCGCTGGGAATGCCACACCAGCACAGAGAGGACAGGATGCACACAGTGCTGAGCCAGCACCTTGCTGACAACAAGAGCATGATCCGTCTCCATCACTGACAGGGCTTCCAGGCGTCACGCCATCACCTCCCAGCCCAGTGAGGATCTCCAGGATTTTCCAGGCTGAGCTCCCTCTTCCAGGGCTGGTAATCTGGGAGAGTCCTGTAACTTAGTGGTTAGAGCACTCGCCTCGCAAGCGAGATGACCCTGGTATGGTATGATCCCCGGCCGATCAGGGCGAAAGGTTCAGCAACTTTTCTTACTCCACACGCCTGTTTACCGAGCAGTTATTAGTCGATTGGAGGATCGCTTTTCCAGGGGTAATAATCCCTTCCAAAAAACTAAATAAATAACTAAATAATAATTTGGTCATTCAATCCACGACTGTTTGTGGGGCGCTGCTGTGCGCAATTGGATGCCACGTTGGGCCCACAACATATAATCAATTCACTTTACAGTCTATCCTGTGAAGCGCTCTCAAAGACATGATAAGGCGCTGGGTCAAATGTTAGGATTATTATGTTAATGATGCTGCAGTGCTATTGGCAAAGAGAAGGGAGTTTCTCCTGACTTGTTGATATCTATGTAAACAATTGAGACAGGAGAGTGATGAGGACAGACATGGTGAAGTGTTGTCAGTGAAGATGACTTTCTCCCTATCTATGTTGGAAGTGTGGGGGTGGGTAGGTCAAAACAACGCCTGAGTCATCCATTTAACATTAAAGGATAAAGGCTACAGTGAGCCAGTATTCAACCCCAACTCAACTCTCTCCATTCAACCCACCAGAGCGCTGAGTGTGTGGGAAACATAGCCAACCATCACTGGGCCAATTAACTCCTTCAGACAAACTCCCGGGAAGAGGTCAGCCTTTCTTCACACTCAAACCGAGAGACAGACACTGCGCAACTCAAGAAAACCCTCTGATTCAGGCTGCATTCGGAGCCAGCTTCTTTCTTTCAACTGTGGCCAAACTCCCCAAATACACAGGCCAAACCCTCATCAAATACAGAGGCCAAACTGTCCCCAAATATGCAGTCAACGCTGTCCCCAAATACACAGGCCAAGCTGTCCCTAAATACACTCTACAAACCCTCAAGAAATATGCAGGCCAAACCCTCACCAAATATGTAGCCCAAACCCTCACCAAGTAACAGGGTAAACCCTCACCAAATACACAGGCCAAACCGTCCCCAAATACACAAGCCAAATCCTCACCAAATACACAGGTCTCTCACATTTCACTGTTAACAACAAGAATTTAGGTTTATACAGAGCGCTTCATGTAGGGTACTATCTTAGAGCTCTTAAAAATGGCGGCGTCTGACACTCAGCCGAGGAGAGGTGACTGTAGGCATGGTTGAAGAGGAAAGTCTTCAAGTGCGAATTGAAGATGGGCATAGAAGGGGGTAAGGTGGAGGGACTGAGGCAGGGAGTCCCAGAGTTGGAAAAGTGGTGTTAACGTTAAAATGAGGAGGACTTTGGTGTGTGAGACTATTTGATGCCAAGCTGAGTCTGGCGTTGATACAACAGAGGGTGGGCTCTAATCAATACAAAGTGGATATCTGTCTCTCGCGCACTCTCTCACTCTGCGGTGATGAGGGGCCGAGTGCCAAGGGGAAATCCGGGCGTGATTCCAAAGTAAGTATCTGCAACATCCGCAGCACTACAAATAGGGAAACTTTCCCCATAAACTAAACACGCGCACTTCATTCAGCAGCAAAGCGGCAGGTTGGCAGACAGCCATGTCACTGTCTAACGGAGACACACAAGCTGATGTAGAGGAATCCCCTCATAATGTCTGTGAATCAGCAACACAGACACCCTACATATACACCTGATATACACCCTCACTATAACACCGATATACACCTTCACTGTAACACCGATATATACCCTCACTGTAATACTGAAATACACCCTCACTGTCACACTGAAATACACCCTCACTGTAATACTGAAATACACCCTCACTGTAACACTGATATACACCCTCACTGTAACACACTGATATACACCCTCACTATAACACTGATATACACCCTCACTGTAACACTGATATACACCCTCACTGTAACACACTGATATACACCCTCACTGTCACACTGATATACACCCTCACTGTAACACTGATATACACCCTCACTATAACAGATATACACCCTCACTGTAACACACTGATATACACCCTCACTATAACACTGATATACACCCTCACTGTAATACTGATATACACCCTCACTGTAACACTGATATACACCCTCACTGTAACACTGATATACACCCTCACTGTAACACTGAAATACACCCTCACTGTAACACTGATATACACCCTCACTGTAACACTGAAATACACCCTCACTGTAACACTGATATATACCCTCACTGTAACACTGATATACACCCTCACTGTAACACTGATATACACCCTCACTGTAACACTGAAATACACCCTCACTGTAACACACTGATATATACCCTCACTGTAACAGATATACACCCTCACTGTAACACACTGATATACACCCTCACTATAACACTGATATACACCCTCACTGTAACACTGATATACACCCTCACTGTAACACTGATATACACCCTCACTGTAACACTGATATACACCCTCACTGTAACACACTGATATACACCCTCACTGTAACACACTGATATACACCCTCACTATAACACTGATATACACCCTCACTGTAACACTGATATACACCCTCACTGTAACACTGATATACACCCTCACTGTAACAGATATACACCCTCAGTCACACTGATATACACCCTCACTGTCACACTGATATACACCCTCACTGTAACACTGATATACACCCTCACTGTAACACTGATATACACCCTCACTGTAACACTGATATACACCCTCACTGTAACACTGATATACACCCTCACTGTAACACTGATATACACCCTCACTGTAACAGATATACACCCTCAGTCACACTGATATACACCCTCACTGTCACACTGATATACACCCTCACTGTAACACACTGATATACACCCTCACTGTAACACTGATATACACCCTCACTGTAACACTGATATACACCCTCACTGTAACACTGATATACACCCTCACTATAACACTGATATACACCCTCACTGTAACAGATATACACCCTCAGTCACACTGATATACACCCTCACTGTCACACTGATATACACCCTCACTGTAACACTGATATACACCCTCACTGTCACACTGATATACACCCTCACTGTAACACTGATATACACCCTCACTGTAACACACTGATATATACCCTCACTGTAACACACTGATATATACCCTCACTGTAACACTGATATACACCCTCACTGTAACACACTGATATACACCCTCACTGTAACACACTGATATACACCCTCACTGTAACACACTGATATACACCCTCACTATAACACTGATATACACCCTCACTGTAACACTGATATACACCCTCACTGTAACAGATATACACCCTCACTGTAACACTGATATACACCCTCACTGTCACACTGATATACACCCTCACTGTAACACTGATATACACCCTCACTGTAACACTGATATACACCCTCACTATAACACTGATATACACCCTCACTGTAACACTGATATACACCCTCACTGTAACACACTGATATACACCCTCACTGTAACACACTGATATACACCCTCACTGTAACAGATATACACCCTCACTGTAACACTGATATACACCCTCACTGTCACACTGATATACACCCTCACTGTAATACTGATATACACCCTCACTGTAACACTGATATACACCCTCACTGTAACACTGATATACACCCTCACTGTAACACTGATATACACCCTCACTATAACACTGATATACACCCTCACTGTAACACTGATATACACCCTCACTGTCACACTGATATACACCCTCACTGTCACACTGATATATACCCTCACTGTAACACACTGATATATACCCTCACTGTAACACTGATATACACCCTCACTGTAACACTGGTATATACCCTCTGTAACACTGATATATATCCTTCCTCTCCCTGTCATTCATCTCTCTCTCTCATCTCTCTCTCCCTTGTCTCTCTTCTATCTTGCTCACCTCTCGCTCTTGCCGACCTGTGCCTAATATCTGCTCTCTCTCTCATATCTTTCTCTCTCTCTCACTTGTCTCTCTCTCTCTCTCTCTCTGACTCTCACTTGTTTCTTGCTCTGAGTCCAAGGTGGACAAGCAGTGGGAAAGCTTGTTAGACAGTGCTCTCAAAGGCAAGCTATGTGGTTTTTGGCTGGTTAGACTCCAGCAGTTACCCCAATGCATACCCTGGGGTCTCCAAGCCTTGGCTCTGGCCAACCTGCGCCTAATATTCTCTGTAAGCAGGATGTATCCCTCCAGGTAGAGAGTGTGCATTCCATTCCAACAAACATCTCTGGAATTTCCATTATATTTGGGATACATGGAACTGAGTTTGATTCCATCTCTCACATGGAGACTTTTAAGCATGCTGATTGATTTCCACATGTGTCAGACACCCAGCTGACCAAAAACTATTGTGCTCTCTCTTTCTCTTGCACACGCTCTCTCTCTCTGATCTGAATACAATCTGAATACAAATGGTCAGAACAAAGTCACTGAGAACAACACTCAGGGCCAGCACTCAGGCACCCAACTGTGGAACTGATTAAAACCCACTACACTCTGTTAACTTTGGCCCGTGACTCTGGCTCTAGACAATTCAAGTCAAGTACGGCATCAGCCCCTCCACCCCTAAGGCCAGCGTGAGCCCCAACCACATACACAACCCTGGGCACACACACTCACAGCCCTCAACCCTGGGTACACACACTCACAGCCCTCAGCCCTGGGTACACACACACACAGCCCTCAGCCCTGCGTACACACACTCACAGCCCTCAGCCCTGGGCACACACACAGCCCTCAGCCCTGGGTACACACACAGCCCTCAGCCCTGCGTACACACACTCACAGCCCTCAGCCCTGGGTACACACACAGCCCTCAGCCCTGCGTACACACACTCACAGCCCTCAGCCCTGGGCACACACACGGTCCTCAGCCCTGGGCACACACACACAGCCGCAGGTACACACAGTCCCAGGCACACTCACTGGCCTCAGCCCCAGGGATAGGCCTCAGCCCAGGGACAGATAAAGGCCTCAACACTGGGCACACAGCGATCTCTTGGTATGAAAATGATGTACAGACTCCAATTCCAGGCAAGAGATACACCCCGAGGAGAGGATGAAACCACAGTAATCCGCAAGAGACCTTCATCCAACCCACAGGCATGGCAGTCACTAGGTGAGCGTTACCAGGAGAGCAATGGGGATGGAGTGTGGGGGTTGTGATTGGATCGAGGGCAAGGATAAACCATAAGGGGGCAAGAAAAAGAAGCCATTTTACCTTGAACATGAGACTGAACACCTGGGTGTGGCATGTGGAGCAATGAAGAAATGGACAAGTGAAAAACAACGTCTGATAATGGGGGACCCGATAATTGTCTAATTTGTGCCTTGGGTGAGCTCAGGCTCAGACACAGAATAGCTCACTGACACACTGACATGAGACACACACCAACACACACACACACACACGCTGACACAGGACAGCTCCCTGACACACTGACACGGGACACACACCAACACACACACACACACACACTGACACAGGACAGCTCCCTGACACACTGACACGGGACACACACCAACACACACACACACACACACACACACTGACACAGGACAGCTCCCTGACACACTGACATGAGACACACACCAACACACACACACACACACACTGACACATTAACACACACACTGACAATAACACACACACTGACACATTAACACACACACTGACAATAACACACACACTGCCACGTTAACATACACACTGACAATAACACACACACTGACACATTAACACACACTCTGACAATAACACACACACTGACACATTAACACACACACTGACAATAGCACACACACTAACATTAACTGACACACTGACACAGGACACATACACTGACACAGGACAGCTCACCGACACACCGACACAGGGCAGATCGCTGACACACGACAGCTCCCTGACACATTGACAAACTAATACACACACTGACACACACACACACTCACTGATACACATACACAGACACTGACACACGCACAACAACAACAACAAGATTCCATTTATTGAGCGCCTTTCACGTCGGGAGGACGTCCCACACACATATACTGATGCACTGACACAGGGTCGCTCACTGACACAGAGCGAGGACACCTCACTGACAGGCATTAGAGACAGCTCATTGACAATGTTGGATGTGACAGCCACACTCCCAGGCAGATCTCTCGCAGTGGGGATGTTAACAATTGAAAACTTGCCTGTTGCCCGCACACACGCACTAATAATAATAATCCTCGCATTTAATACAGTGCCTTATCACGTCTTCGCGACGTCTCAAAGTGCTTCACAGAATATACTGTAAAGTGAAGTGACTGTATACTTTGTGGGCGAAATGCGGGAGCCAATTGCGCACAGCAGCGTCCCCATAAACAGCCGTGGAGCAAATGATCACATTATTATTATTTTAATTAGGCAAAGAGCAGGCAGACGGTGAGGTGAGTAGAGAACGGAAAGGCACTAACCTTTGACACGCTCTCCCCTGTGAAGCGGGATCTCGGCCTCTCCTTGCGGCAGGTAGGGCTTCACTACGATGAAGGTGCGCCCGGGCACGGCGCTGTACAGTTTGCGTTTGGGCCCCCGGTGAGGCGGGTGCTGTGGGGGCTCAGCGGTCACCCCGCTCGGGCTGTAAACAAAGACATAGGTGACAGTACTGCGCCCTGACATGCTGCTCCCCGCTGACCTTGGCTGCTGGGGGCTGGCCCCTCATCAGCTGCTCCTCTCTCACTGCCTTCAGCTCCAGCTGCTGGGTATATACCAGGGCTCCGGCTCGGTACACCTCCCTCCCTTTCTCGCTCTCTCTCTCTCCCTGTATGTCTCTCTCTCTGGTCCTCACTCCCCTTCTCTCGGGCTGTCTGTCTCTCTCTCTCTCTCTGGTTCTCACTCCCGTTTTCTCAGTCTGTCTCTCTCTCTCTCTGTTTCTCACTTTCTCTCTCTGTTTCTGTTTGTCGCTATCTATCTCTCTAACTCTCAGTGTGTCCGTTTGTCTCTATCTGTCTCTCAGCCTGCCACTATCCTTCTCTGTGTCTCAATCTTTTTTCTCTCTCTTTCAATCTGTACTCTCACTCAGTCTGTCATTCTCTCTCTGTTTCTCTCTCGCTCTCCCTCTGTCTCACTTTCTGTCTCACACATGCCCACAGCATCCCAAGCTCCTCACGCTCCCTGCCCAGCCATTTCCCCGCTGTGATTCGACCCCAGAGCCGCTGGCTGCCGACCCAGCCCCGCCACAGCCACTGCAGGGCTCTCTGACATTCTGCTTCCCGATCGCAGTGATAGAGAGAGAGAGAGCGCGAGCTCCCTGCGCCCGGCTTGAGGAGCTGCAAGTGAGTACAACCTGCCCGCTGCTGTTTGCTGAGCCGCGGCTCTGCTCCACCCCCGTCATACACACACACACAGCCATCCTCAGCCTGTCTGCCCTTCACTCTACACGTGCTCTCTCACAGCTCAATCCCGCCCGCAAGGCACAGGCTTTGGCACAGGAGGGGCGGGGGGGGGGATTTGGAAAAACTTTTTTTCATAGAAAAAGTAAACACTTTCTCATTCTGTCACTATCTCTCTTTATATCACTCTCTCTGTCGCTCTCTAAGACACAACTGCATGTGAAGGGCATATTGTTGATGTATCTCCCTGTCTCTGCAAATGTTTCTGGGCCATAGTGTGTGTGTTTGTCGATGTGCAGGTATCCGTGTAACATGTGTGCTTGTATATTTGTGAGTGTGTGTGAGAGAATGTATATATGTGTGCATGTGTGTTCCTCACTAACATAGCTTGCTCGATGCTCACAGGCATTTCTGTGTTCTATGGGGAGTTGTGAATGACCTGAGTTAACTGTCGGACACACAGTGCTCTCTCTCTCTCTCCTCTCTCTCAGGGCTGAGCTGCTCAGTTATCAGTTACTGCAGGATGGGCAGCTGATGCATTATTCATGTGTGGAGAGAGGGACATAGGCTAATGGCTGCACTGCCGAGCTGTGCGAATGCATGTTTCAATCACCTCTCACAGCAAATTCCCTGCAATACACAAGCAAGGCTTTACTGAAGGACTGAGTCCCAGCCCTCACTTTAATACAAAACTGTCTGAGAGAGAGCAGCCTGCAAGGGATTAATAAGCACCACATTGGAAGGAAGCTATGTCCAATTGACTGGCTCTGGTCTCCTGCTTGTCCCTTGTGCCCTCCGTTCCACCATCGGTGGCCGCGCTTTCAGCCACTGGTCCCCGAAACTCTGGAACACTCTTCCTCTAACCCTCAGTCTTGCCCCTTCCTTCCGCATCTTCATGTTACTCCTGAAGACCTTACTCTTAGACCATGCTGACGGTCACCTGCCCCCGGCTCGGCATTCTGCTCCACCACTGTCAAGCGTTCTGGGACACTACCCTCCCAGGTGAGGGATGCTATATACATGCAAGTTGTTGTTGTCGAAGCAGAATTAAGAAGTGAACGTGGAGCAGTCTATTTCTCTGAAACATTGTGGGTTAATGGCACTACTCAAAATAGCTGGTAATACGCTCCCACATACTCAGCATCAGTTAGAGAAACAGTAAAGCTCCCTCTACACTGTGCGTCCACACTCCCAGGTCAGGGTTAGAGACACAGTAAAGCCCCCCTTACACTGTGTGTCCACACTCACAGGTCCGGGTTAGAGACACAGTAAAGCTCCTCTACACTGTGTGTCCACACTCCCAGGACAGGGTTAGGGACACAGTAAAGCTCCTCTACACTGTGTGTCCACACTCCCAGGTTAGGGTTAGAGACACAGTAACGCTCCTCTACACTGTTCGTCCACACTCCCAGGTCAGGATTAGAGACACAGTAAAGCTCCTCTACACTGTGTGTCCACACTCACAGGTCAGGGTTAGAGACACAGTAAAGCTCCTCTACACTGTGCGTCCACACTCCCAGGTTAGGGTTAGAGACACAGTAACGCTCCTCTACACTGTTCGTCCACACTCCCAGGTCAGGATTAGAGACACAGTAACGCTCCTCTACACTGTGCGTCCACACTCCCGGGTCAGGGTTAGAGACACAGTAACGCTCCTCTACACTGTGCGTCCACATTCCCAGGTCAGGGTTAGAGACACAGTAAAGCTCCTCTACACTGTGCGTCCACACTCCCAGGTCAGGGTTAGAGACACAGTAAAGCTCCTCTACACTGTGCGTCCACACTCCCAGGTCAGGGTTAGAGACACAGTAAAGCTCCTCTACACTGTGCGTCCACACTCCCAGATCAGTGACACCACTCTCTAGATCTCTTAAGAATCTTAGGAATACCTAACAATTCTCAATGGTGTGTGTATGGGTGGGGGGGAGGAGAGTGGGTTAATTGGGGTATCCTTGGAGCTGCAAGGCGATGTGCCTGCCAAAGGATTATCAGAATCATGTTCACCCGCTGTGGGGGTCTCTAGTCTGGTTGCCGCCATGCGTGTCCGCAATACTCCAGGGGAATGCTGATGACAGCGTGGGTCAGACACTGGCTGATCATGGTGATGGGTTTCTGTGAGTAAGTCAGATACCCGGCTGATCACGATGACAGGTTTCCATGTGGGTCACACACCCAGCGACCAAAAAACAGCTAAAAGGACGGTTGCAATCTCTCTGGTGACAAGGAACGAAACTCGGGATTAATCAGCCTTTATGTGCTGGTTAATCCAGGAGTCACCTCACGGCTGTATGTTGGCCCTTGCTCATTTGTTCTTAAATATCGCCTCCGCACTTGACACTCCGCTGGCTCCCAATCGCCGAACGGATCAATTTCAAGATCCTCACACTCAGTTTCAAATCCCTCCAATGCCCTGGCACTTCCCTACCTCTCTAACCCGCTTACCTCTCAAACCACTACCTGCTGCCTCTGCTTGACTGGCTCCGGCCTCCTGCACGTCTCTCGTGATCTCTGTTCCACCACCATCACCCTGAAACTCTTGAACACTGTTTCCCTAACCCTCCACCTTGCCCCTTCCTTCCCCATCTTCAGATCATCTGTGCCTATGGTCACCTCCCACCTGCTCCCCCCCCCCCACAGCTCGACGTCGTGCTCCACCACTGCCATGCGCTCTGGGACGCTGCCCTGTGTGAGGGGTGCTATATAAATGCAAACTGTTGTAGTACCTGTGAAGTAGTTTGACATTTTTAACGTGCTAAGTTCTCTTGCTCCCTTACCCAGAAATGTACTGGGAAAACACGGAATTGATTGCAAAACCATTCCGTTCTGTAGCTCTTGTCGTCACACTCGGGTTAGGGTTAGGGTTATATTTACCAAACTGTTACTTAGCTTGCAAATGAGCAAGCACACGAGCAAGCACACACCATCTGTCCTGTGAAGGGAAGCGTCAAACACACAGCGTGGGACACAGAGCTGGCCTGATGGATCTCTCAGCATCAGAACTCATAATACCTGCATTTGAGCCAGCACCTGTCACATCACAACATCTCGGAGCGCTTCACAGGGCAAGTGTAGTGACTGCGCATTTTTAGTCAATGTGTAGTCGATTTGCATCCAGAGAAACCTCACCACAGTCAGGAGGTGATTGACTGATTAATCCAGGGAACAGTCGTCCAGGACACAAGGACAGGAACTCTTTTCTTTTCTCCCAATTGCGTAACAGGATCTTTAGTGTCCACCTGAACCTTTACAGCGGGTCATCTTGACTCAGTGCTCCCACTCCCACCTCGGAGTCAGTTGGTTGAGGGTTCGTTCGAGTCCCCAAGTCAGGGACTCTGAGCTGATAGTCTAGGCTGCTGCTCCAGCGCAGCGCTTGGGGGAGGGCTGTACTGTCAGAGGTGCCACCCTTCATGAGACGTTAAGCTGAGCTCCCGTTTGAGCCCAGTTCAGGAGGATATTAAAGATCCCGCTGTGCTATTTGAAAAGAGGAGTTTCTCTCTCACTCTCCTGGTGTCCTGGACGACACTCCCCCAGATACAAAATTGGTAATTCACTTCACGGCTGTTTGGGCCCACACTCTGCTGACAGACACCCATCAGGGTGTGCACAGGTTACCTGCTGTTCGTTCCAATCCACGTCCCCTCCATTTATCTACATTAAGACACCTTTCTTGCTGCTGGTCCCATCTGGTGAATTGCACCATATCTTCCTGAGCGCTATTTATCCTCCTTCTATTGCTCACCTGCCCAAATAGCTCCGTACCCTCTACTCAGGGGAGACAAATGACTCTGGCGACGTGGCAATGTGGGGAGGCTACAGATCTATAATGGAAGCAAGTGGGTTCCTGGGCAGACAGCAGTTTATATTCTAACAATGATTCAGCGTTGCGTTCAGAGCAAATGTAATCAGTTCACTCGAGCATGCCAACAAATAAATGAGACTGTGCTTTCATTAGCAGCTACTGGTGCACATTACAGCTTGTGTCGTCTCCTCAACACAATCCCCTCCACATTACACCTCCCCTCACCTCAACACAATCCCCTCCACATTACACCTCCCCTCACCTCAACACAATCCCCTCCACATTACACCTCCCCTCACCTCAACACAATCCCCTCCACATTACACCTCCCCTCACCTCAACACAATCCCCTTCACATTACACCTCCCCTCACCTCAACACAACCCCCTCCACATTACACCTCCCCTCACCTCAACACAATCCCCTCCACATTACACCTCCCCTCAC